ATATATATATATATATATAGCACATTCACCAAACCTTTAATTAACTGAAAAATCTTTTTGCTTCAGGAAAAAATAACCCAAATCGCTTTATTGAACTTACACAAATACGAAAATGGTAGGCAGCAATGACAAAACAATATAAAAATACGTTTGGAAATCATGCTTGAGTTCATCGGGTCAATCTGATAACTAAATAATTATGATGTTATGTATGTACATAAAAAAAAGTAATAAACCGATACTGCTTCATCATTTCACTAAACCTAATTTCTTTGCCTCAACTTCGTAAATCAATAGTCTCCACATTTTTACCACAAAAACTTCTGCTTCTTCGTCAAGGACCTGAAAATAAACATAATATAATAAAATAATGCAAATTCACACAATAAAATCTCACCATCTGCACATCTTCCAGAATAGTCTGAGGTTGGGAGCCAGCCAATACTTTGGAACAAATGAAATCTACCAAAGTCGGTTCTGGCTCGCCAATATATTCTATAATCTTTTTATTGATCCAAGGACGGATTTTCTTTTCCATCAGATTATTGTCAATGGCCCCCCAGTCTAATTGGTAGGCGAACAAGGCATCTTTCTCGGTAGGAATCTTTTCAATTAGAGACTTAATGCTTTTACGCTTTTCTTCTTGTGATTTTGTTTCTTCCACCTTCTTATCCCCATTTTCCTTTTCTTTTTCTTTCTTGCTCTTCTTGTCTTCATTATAATCTAAAAGTTAGTAGATTATTTATTGTGTTCAAAAAGTAAAAAATAAAAATTACCTAATGGAATTAATTTTCGTTTTTTGACCTGAGTGGCACTGTCATCTTCGTCTGGGTTAAAAACTTCGCGCAGGTCAGCTCTCTTGCGTTTTGAATCTCTTGTAGGTGACTGCAGCGTGATGGGTTTCGATAGGGTTATCTTCATGCCAGTGCCAGTCGGAGCAGCTGACTGGTCATCATGGTTTGAGGTGAAGGAATGCCTAGAGTCTTCTTCGGGAGCCTGAACCTGAGTCCACTGAAGGTTAGACAAAAAGAAATGATAACTGAACATTACAGTAAGAAAGTCTACTACAGCCAGCCTTTTACCTCCGATGAAGCATATAATGATTTGGATGACCACTCATTTTATGAATTATGTGATTTACTTTTGGTATCTCGCTATAATACAACATATACTTTTAAAGAAAATTTTAATTTGTACAGCGTTTATTTGCTAGGTACTAATGTGTTTGACATTCTATTTTATATAGATAAGATTTTAGGTACTACTTTTATGCAATTTCAACATAGTTCAAAAACATTTGTCAACAGGAACTTTTTCTAAGGATCATAAACATATTTCTCTCTCTATCTCTATAATAACACAAAACATTTTTCTCGTCGTTTAGACAATTTATCATTAAGCTTTATATACATTTTTTCTATTTTGGTATTCAAAATAGTTGAAAATGTATTTGTTTATATTTTAATTTGAATATTGGCAAACACGTAACTTGTCCATACAAGAAACTGTAGTTGTATACGTTTATAAACTTTTTATAATACACTGGTACTATGTTGCTGTATCGTTGCTGTTCCAATGTTTGGACAGAATCAGAATCAACGAACTTAGGCGTGCGCAGCGATATAGACCAGTGCTTTCAAAAAATTGTTCTACAGCGCCACCTAGTGGCGAGTTACAGATAAATTGATAGCCTAAAAACCTTCTCTGTGAAAAATTACTAATACATGTCAAGTTTCATCACTTTTTTCAAAAACTACACCTCACGATTTGATCTCCACAAAGGTTGTGGAAAAAAAAAGTTTCATCACTATCGGTTGAGCGATGTAGAAGTTTATCACTTACCAACCAACCAACAAACATCCATTTTTATATACTATATTCAGTTGAACCATCTAATTATTAACATTAGATTGTAACATACCATTTTTCTAGAAATTTGTATTTTGAAAGTTACCCTAATCTAATATATAAAAATGAATGTTTGTTGGTTGGTTGGTTTGTAAGTGATAAACTTCTACATCGCTCAACCGATCGTGATGAAACTTGACATGTATAAGTAATTTTTCATAGAGGTTTTAGGCTATCAATTTTTCTGTAACTCGCCACTAGATGGAGCCGTAGAACAATTTTTTGAATGCACTCCTCTATAAAGCTGCCCACGCCTAAGTTCGTTGATTCTGATTCTGTCAAAACATTGGAATAGCAGCGATACAGCAACATAGTACTAATTAGTACTACAACTACCAAATTCTACACGGGCGAAGCCGCGGGCAACAACTAGTATATTATAAAAAATTGTTCTTGCATATATACAAGTTTATTTTTGATGACTGTGTATGATTCATGAATTGTCACACAAGAGAATAATTTCTACTCTACCTGTGCAGAGTCCATATTGTCTACTGAAACGCTATCTGGCTCAGGCGGTGCTGGACTGTAGTGATTATCATCATCCATGTCGCTATCGCTGTCTATAGGTTCTGCTTCAACAGCTGCTAATTCCTGAGCCGCTTGTTGCAATATATACCTAGAAATATATTGTTATTCTCATATGAAATATTCTCAATCTGAAATATAAGAACTCACTTTTCTCTTTCTTCTCGTTGCCTTTGTCTGTCTCTTTCTCTGTCCAATTCCCGATTTCTTTCTCTCTCTCGTGCCTTCTGTCGCTCGATTTCTCTTTCCTTTTCTCTTTCTTTCTGCTTCCAGTGTTCTAGATTCACGTCAATGAGAAGTTTAGGTTTATACTGTTCCTCTCTTTCTTTTTTGGCCTAAAAACAAAAATATGTGATTTTTTGCTTTAGTGCTTCCTGCAAGTTTATTTGAAATTATCACTAGCTGGTTAAGACTTATAATAATTATCTTTTTACTTATCACATTTGATAAAAATGAAATCAATACAAAAATTATTCGAATATATCACAAATAATCTAAACCTAAAGTTTTATAAAAATAGTTAGGAAGACCTTTCTTCATTTCTGCACTAGAATATGGAGCAGAATATTAAAAAATAACTAACTTTTTCAAATTCGGCATTTGGATCTTCATGTTCGCCAGAAAATATCCTATTTTTGAGTTCTTCAATTTCTTCCTTTTCTTTCAATCTATCCCTATTGTCTAGGTCGGCTTCTTTCAATCTATCGGCAACTCTTTTTTGTAGCTCCCGACCCCTGAAATGGAGTTAGTATTAGTTTGTTTCAAAAGTTTTGTGCATTTTAATGTCATGTGTTTTAGTAGTTAATGTGGTTAATACTGTTTGACAGAGAATTTTTTACTCTATACATTGATGCTGTTAATTTATTTTCCAAATTTTAATTTGTTGCCTCTTTTCAGCTCATTACATTAATTCTACGAATTTAAATTGAACCGAAACAGCCCAAAAAATTAACCAGGCATTTGGCAATGATAGTGTTATTGAACGCACTGTTCGATGTTGGTTTCTAGCAAATGGCCACTGGAATTAATTGAGTCGCCCCGGAGCGTTAATTAATTTTTGTTGTTGATTCATAATTAGTAAATGTAAAACCAATTCATAATTAAATTATATGATAGCTGACATTAATGACAAATACAGAGTGAAACAACATAGAGAAAGTAAATATGCTCCAAACAAACATAATGAAAGCTTACTTGTAATACTTTGTGTCGTCTCGTTCGTCATCATAATCTTCCAAAAATTCTTTGAGTCTTTTAGCATCATGTTCTCGTTCCTCTTCCTTCAACCTATCTTTTTCCCTTTCTTTTTCATATTCTTTAGCTTTACGCCTTTCTCTGGTTTCCCAAGCCCTACAATTTGAGTCAGGTGATATTCAAACAAATAATTATAAAAAAAAAAAAAAAAATATCCCTCACCTCAACCTTTCCTGGTAAGCAGCTTCTTTCTCTCGAGCCCTTCTTTCGGCCTTTTTCTTCTCTTTAGCCTCCTCTTCCATCTCCTTTTCCCTCATCAAGTCTCTGGTACTTTTTTTGTCATCAAGATCTCGATCTCTGTCTCTATCTCTGCCTCTATCTCTATCTCGTTCTCTGTCACGTTCACGTTCCCTCTCTCGTTCTCGTTCTCTTTCTCTCTCCCGATCACGTTCCCTATCACGCTCTCTCTCGCGCTCTCTTTCTTTTTCTCTCTCGCGTTCACGTTCTCTCTCTTTCTCCCGTTCCCTGTCCTTTTCCCGCTCTCTGCTCTTCTCATGTGATCTGAAACATACGGTTATGCGTAAAATCGTCAACCTTGAACAAAACATTCCAATTTCCCACCTCGATCTAGAATGCCTTCTTCTCTTCTCTTCTTTGTCCTTCCTCCTTGCCGGACTCGGCGAGTGTGAGCGAGACCTGTCCCGATCGCGAGGTTTGTCTTTTAATTCTTCTTTCTTCTTGCGAACCTCTTTCTCTTCTTCTTGTTTCTAAAAAGAAAAATACTTCAATAAAACGTTCAGAAGTCTGCACTAATATTAGGAAAAGATGCATACCAGTTATCTTCAAGATTTACGTGTATCTCTTTTTTTATTCACGTAGTTTTCTCTGTACGGATCATATATGCTGTAAGTGAAGTTTCATGAAAGTTAGTGTTTTTCAGACCAAAATTAAGATTGATTGATTTGCTTACATGTTTTTTCATATACTGTAATTGAAAACTCTCTATCAATCCTATAAGCTACAAAAGAGGTTCCAATTCTTCCTATTAAGAACATGATAACATTGTTTAAGCTTTACATCATATACAACAAATAAATCTCCAGACCAATAAAATTAATTATTTCTTTGGAAAAATTAAGTTAATTTAAGAAAAATGGTTTGAAAAGAAAGATCACAAAAAGTAAAATCAATCAATACTTTTTTTCAAAATACAGCTTTTTAAACCGGAATTTCACACGCTTTTGTCATTTGAAAAATTGTCTTTTTTTGTATCTATTTATCATTCATTTTTACATTTCATTTAAGGTCGTTAGTACACTACATGTTCATTTATAGGGAACATAAAACTAAATTAAACACCCAAATATTGTAACTTAAAAAAATTTGAACTCTCTAATAAGTATTTCAGAATAGAATACTTTGAATACGATTCTTCAAATTGAATAGAAACACAGTTCAGTTTTGTCTAGAGACAACATATGAGTTTGAAATAATTTAAAACATAGTAACAATTATGTGATAAGTTCAAAAAGTAGTGTTGCAATTGAATACTTTTTAAACAATAATTGCATTCAATGAAGTGTTGGCAAGTGAAGAAAATCGTTGCTTCCACAAAAAAAAATTAGTAATGAAGAATCTCCTGTGATAAATCACATTATAATAAAGTTTCGATTCTGGATAATTTCATGTCGCCAACACCTCACTGTAAAACTGTCATTATTTTTCAAGGACAATAATATCTCTACTTGAACGTTTAAAACTTACACTGAAAACTGAAGATGGAATTCCTTAGAGAGGTTGACAGATCCAAAACTCGAAACTCCACAATATCGATGACAATGAAAGTTAAGCTACGGAACGTAACTTACAAATACGAACCGCAGCATAAATATAATACAACTAATATAAAATAAGGTGGTTTCACATTAAATAGTAAAACTTTCACAACATAAATTGTAACAAGAATTCCCAAAACATTCATTCAATCTGCTTCACAACATAGCAATATCAAAATATATGGTACCTTGATATAAGTGATTGTCTTAATGCTGTTCATATTATTCCACCACAATTTGTAGTGAAACACCAGTTCCATTACAATTTTTCAGAGTGAAAAAAATAATGTCAACTACCCTGAACAAAACCTATCTTTCATATAGTGAATCTTTACACTGATATTGGGATAACCACATAGGTGAAAACAAGTGAGAACTACATGTATAATGCTACCCAATTTTATATTTTTTACAAAATTTTCAACAGTTTTTTTTTTAATCGAATAAAAATGATGGTCGTGACGTCACTAGCATTTGATATGAACTTGGCAACACCTTAAAGCTTTTCATATTCTGTATTCTTTAGTCCAGACAAAATAGACGGAAAAAGGCCCGAGTTTGCAGAAATTTCTAACAAGCTGAATTTTTATACAGTGAGAGCTACCGAAACAATGATCCAGACAAAAGTTTCTAGATCGTGAAATTCTCTACAAAAATGGTATCGATACATTTTTTCTTAGGTATTGTCTATTTTGTTTGGGCTATCTGTTGTTCTGACCGTGTGTGCAACTTTGCCAACTTGTTTTTAAAGTCAAAATTAAGAATCATTTCATTTTACAAAACAAAGACTTTATATTTGGAATTTTGTTGAAGAATTTTTGATCGAGTGGTACTTATTGAAGGAATACAACGAATATGTTTTCTGATTACTTCGATCAATTTGTTACATACAACAGTTACATAACTATAATACACAATCTTTAGATAATTTTCATATCGATGAGACAAAGCAGAAGAGTGCAATGAAATCTATATTTTTCAAAGGATTGAATGAATATAATAAATTACCAGAGGAAATAAAACAATATAATACAATATATTGCTTCAAAACGAAATTGTTATGATACATTCTATCAAGAGATGGCATCAGTTGTCTGTGGCAATATTATTATTATTATTTTTATTATTAGCTAATGTCATCTTATTATTTGTCTTTTTATTAATCACATTTTATATTACATCTTATATTTGATTCTTGATAATAACTATATATTATAATTAAGTTTTAGTAACTGATTTTTATCAAATTGTATTTTGTAAATTTTATAATATGAAATTACATATGTATATTAGGGTATCCTATTTAAATAAATATCTTATCTTGTCATATTCGTTCATATACTTTTTTCTTCTTTACAAAAATCATATACATTACGGTATGTGAGGTAAGTCTGAATGGTAGTGTCGTCACGGAAAAGTTGAGTATTACTTTCGGAAAGTGTGAAGGTCTATTGTGTTGAGATGCTCAGTCAATCATACGGCCCAATTCATTGAAGGAGCCGATACAAGAATATTGAATTCTTCATCAGATACATCAAAAATATCCAATTTGGCAGCCCTTATTACAATTTTTGCATGAATAAAATGAATAATTTCGGAATATATTATGTTACCAACAAGACTTGATCCTTAGATTTACAATAAAATATATTTTATTATCTGAAAATGATATCGAGAACCATCACTTACTTATTGAAAATTTGTCTCATTCAATTTTGTACAAATGGTTTCACTTTTTGTTACTGTTTGTTTTTTATTGTTATTTTAAATGAAGAATATTTCATAAAAAATTACTTCACCTACACATTATCTTCAACACTAAGTATATGTCTACATATAAGGCAGATGTTACAATTTATGTTCAATTATTTTGTAAATTTCAACTAAAACTGGAACATATTCACATCACATGCAGGTTTCAGAAAGTAAAAAAGTATCAAACTAGAGTATTTCTCAATTCCTAAGATTGATTTTGATATGAAAATGAGTTACAGACTCTTGAAGATTAGTGACATGTGATGTGAACATGTTGATCGAGTGGATTTAACTGTGGTCACGTTACTCACCAGCGGCGCCTCGGGCCGAACCTAGGTGGGACTGCGCCGATTCCATAAGCCTGTTTGGTTTCAAGCACCATATGAGCGCAACTTACTTCTAATACCCACAAATAATCAAGATATAACTCCCCCTTCCCTACCATTAATGATACTCGACCAAAGTAAGACATTTGAACGACATACTTCCACCATGAAACTCCATTCAAGAAATGGAATGCAAGTTAGCAGCAAAAATTCAGTAAAATTTGTGGAAATATGTTTTTCATTAAATTCAAGTTATTGTCCGAGAGGTCTTGAATACTCGATACTTACTTTCATGATTTCTCGAAACTTTCCTATTTCTCTAGTAATTAAATCTCGTTTCTCTTCCTCCACTTCAGCTTCTGCCAAAACCTTGTTCCACTTTTCTATTACTTCCTCTGTAAACACAAATAGCATTTAGCATGTACAAACATTCAACTAATTTGTCGACTCACCTTCTTTTTTTGCCTCAAAGTTGTTCATCTCTTCTTGATATTCATAAATTATTTGTTTGATTCTTTCCAAAGCAACTGCATCGAGAGCTTGAGTTTCTTCATCAAGCTCCTCCTCTTCAGGCTCATCCTGGAGCGGGGAAGTTGATCCCTTCTGCCTTCTTCGTCTCTCAGCTCAAAAAAAAGTATAAAATATAAAATGTTTCTTGCATAGGTCGAGACACACATATAAAGAAAACTTACGTTTTTGAAGATTTGTATCAAAATAATATTGGCCTAATCCTGCTTCTGAATTTTCAAACAAAAAATTTATACTGAATACAAATTGTTAAGATGTCTCATCTGCTTTGTGAAAAACTGAATTGGAATTGTACAATTAAATGTCATCAATTCACAGTTCAATGTAAAAAAGTGAACTCAACTTGATACCAATAATGTAAATAAAACAATATGAATAAATAAAATACATTATCCAATTCAGAAAATAAGAATACCTTTATATTCGTCTAAAACTGTTTTAGTCTTAGCATCAACCTTAGCAACTAATCTCTTATCCCCTATCATAAGATCATGTAAAATTCTAACAGCCCTAAGACCAGCATCAGGTCCGGCTAATTCGCAGAATCCAAAAGCTTTAACTTTCTTCCAACTGATTACATGACCACAAGCTGCTAGAATCTGCCGTATCATGGCATCTGGGGCACGTTCCGTAATATTCCCTACGCAAATTGAAAAAAATTAAATACCTCAAATAGCTGTAAGTACACAAAACTTACCAACGAATACTGTAACAGCTGGTCCTTGTATCTGCTTCTGTTGTTCTCGGTTAGGATTGAGCTTAGGATAAGCTCGTATTTGTGGCGCGCTGGTAACCTGTATGGGCACCATCTGCAGAAAAGAAAGATTTATTTTTCTTTTTGAAATAAATGACAATCAGTTAATAATAGAAAAATATTTTCCATCACCTAAAAAATATATGTGCAATCACAATATTATTTGTTGGTTACTTTATTTTATACAAGTCTATATGCAGTCCATCTGGCCTCTCTCTTCACAAAAATGTGGAAAGGAGGTAGATCTAGAAGGATCTCCATGGCCGCTGACGGTGTGGTACTGATGGCACCACTGATCACCAGATAAGCATGTCTCTGTAAGCCAGAAATCTTCGACTATCCATCAGGAGCGACCACAGAAGGAGAGACAGTACCCCACCTTGAGGGCAGCCTCTGATGACCCTGAACCTAATGGCCTCGCCTTGAAGAGTCGTAGTTGCAGTTCTGTTTACCAGCGTGGCATAGATCCAGCCGGTTATGGTCGATTCTATGCCTTTCCTAGCCAAAGATATTCCTGTAGATTTAGGTAGTGCATTGTCAAATGCTCGTTCGATATCGAGAAATACAGCAACCGCAACCTCCTTAACAAGTGTAACTTTTTAGAGTTCTTTACAGACATTTAATTCTATCATAGATTACTGGTGTTTTTTCTTGGGGAAATCAAAGATGTCATTTATAGATTATTTGAAACCAATATGTTCTTCGCTTGTATGTCATGGGCTTCTTCTCTTTTAAAATGAAATTTGTAAAATACTGTAGTTTTATGAAACAGGCTCCCTTAAACCTGATAAATATAATGAAAGGTGGCAAATTGAAAGAGAAAAAAAAAGCCCAAAAAAGGTACTTGGGAGTTAAATTAGAGTAGTTATTTTCAAAGTTATATGTTTCTAGAATACTCACATGTTGTATAGGCATAACTGCTGGCATTAACTGGGGTGCAGGTGCCCCCATAGACATGTAAGCCATGGGAAGGCCTTGCATGATGGGTGGACGCCCTGGATATGACATTTGCGAAGATCTTTAAGGCTTTGTAAATTAAGACGATATCGGTTTTTGATTCTTCCTTTTAGGGGAATAGGTACCTACTTATATATACCTAGAGCAAAGATCGATGTGACCTGATTTGTTTCTCCTAATGTAACATAGTTTTCACTACACTTCCACCGTCACAATTATTCAACTGAACTGCACTTGAAATAAATTGTCAACGATAAATACTGAAGCTTCGAAAATTTCATATCACGAAACCCTTACAACTGGTAATACCACCATTACTTCTTCACTCCATAATATGCAGGACAGGACAGGACGGAACACAGAATCTGTGACAGAATGCTTAATATTCTGTGTCTGAGCACAGAACGCAAATTACATATGGTGCGTTCCACTAAGCGTTCACAACGCCTAAAATACTCATTCAGGCGTTCCACATGGCGACCGCGATCGTTGTGGTCGCGACGAAAACGTCATTAATGACGTCATTACTTATGCTCACGCCTAGCTCATGATGATCCATCTCAAGAGGTGGGTCGATGTGAGCGTTTTGAGAAACTGAGCGCAATTTTTAAAACTTAAAGCAGCAAACATGGCGACAACAACAATATCGTTCTATTGTGCCGAACGAGATACTGTTGTGGATCTTAAACTTTCTCCTGCAGATGCTGAACGTGCGTTAACAGGTAAATATTATTGTTAAATGAAGCTTATTAAGCATAATTGCAGTTTATAAGTTATTTTCATCATTTGTCAATAACATAACCTAAATTGATGAATCAACAACTTTAATTATCAATAAAAATATATTTGTCAAAAGAAACTCATTTTGATTTCAGATACAGTGATAAAAAAATAATTTACCTTAAATGGCTTTTAAATTCTTCATCTGAATAACGAGTAATTACATTATCGTAATCAATAATACGTGGTCTAAGTTTTCGTTTTTCACGATTATATTTTTGTAAAATTGTATTCCATTCTTCATCTGAGCTGGACGAACTAGTACTTTGTGGAGCATTATTTCGACGCACCAACAAATTTCCAACTGCCGCCGTAAAAGGCATTTTTATTATATACGAACATAAATTAGTTAAATACTCCTCTAAAATTAAAGTATATACATAATTTTTGTTTAATAAATCATGTTAACCAACAATTAATAAAACTTATTGATACCACTTACAAATTGTAACATAACCTCATCAACTTTTTGTTTTGTTTTTTAAACGCGCCATGTGTATTATTTAACTGAACGCTCAAAACGCTCCAAAATCCATTCCACTTGAGTTAATGATTGTGACGCCCAGAACCAAGTGGAACGGCAAACACCGTGGTCGTGAGCGTGGTCGTTGTGAGTGCTTAGTGGAATGCACTGATAGTCAGGTGTCTGAGACCTCGAATCCGCGGTTTGCTGGTAATCTACTTATATAATTTCAGCATGGTCCTGCTGTTAGATAAACGAGAAACATCTGCGAGACTTCAGATAAACACCAAATAGAGATCAAAGGGCTGCCCCATAGTTCCAATTCTGATTGTGTATTATTCTGTGGTCTTAGTCAGTAAGGCCGTGGTCTGAATCACGCTTACAGCGCTCATAGCGTACCAACTCTCGGTCAGAATCGTGCTTTTCATTCTCACCGTTCAGAGTTGTGAACGCTATGACGTCACATGTGACGTCAGACCGTGGTGCTCACAGTACTCACAGATCAGATCGTTAGCACTGTGAACATTGACGTTATTTTGCGCCATTTATTTGAACTATCGAGTGTTTTATTTCTGTGAATTCAAGCGTCCGAAATAAAATTTATTAAAATGTCAGTGAGTTTTTCCGTGTCAATTGAAGAAACTGGCGAGATAGAAAATCTGGGAATCGTTTTCTTCGACGTAACGTTGAATACGAGGTCTAAGCTCCAATTTTCCTCGCTTCTTGTTTAACACGAGAATTGTATTAACCAGTTCATCTTCGGAGCTACTCGATGATGACGAAATATCTAATATATCTTCCACATCAATATCATTCTCGTCACTTTCCCCGATTGCAGAAAATGGTAGAAATACAAGCATTTTCCGATCTTCATCAGCTACACCACATACTGTACTCACGTTTATTTCAAAAAATGCATTGTAAGGTTATGTTTAACTTGTGGAATTCGTAAGCACACTCACAAGTGGTCCGAATTATTAACACTGCAAACAGACGTTGGCGCGCGCACGTAAATCGGACCCGACCTAACGTCGTAAGTGCTGTGAGCACAATTCGGACCATGGTCTAATGAGTTCTATTTCAACATAAACTTTCTGATTGATTGCTTCAATTTCATTCTGAATAGTAACGAGTCTGAGGCATTCTAATGCAAGCTGATGTGCTGACACAAAATGATATAGTTAACGCAGACTTTGCACTGTTTTTTTTGCTCATGTGGCTTTTCTGTCAAGTGTCATAGCACGATCGAGCATGTTAAATCAAATACTGAATCGTAAAAGGATCTGACATTCGGAATTGATCTTCTGAAGCAAAGTGACAGGATACAAAATGCACAAAAAATGCGTAAAAACTAAAATACGCAAAAACTAAAAAGATAAGAAATGTGCGAAGATAATGAAAATGTGCAGATTTCATGCCTTATTGGAATCACTCATCATCGGTGAATTTAAAAACTCGTTCAGCGACGGAGAATCAGCGAACTATAATGGGTTTTGGTAAAAAAAAACTCATAAATTCTTATTTTTATAACATTTTAACATTTATGTGGCTTTAGTCCTATGGGCTAACGAAATTCTTCAATAAATCGTTCTGTGTCATCCGTCCATAAAAACCTGTCATCTGTCAGTTGAATTCTGAACTGTGTTTTTTTCTATGAATAGTAATATTTTAAAAAGAACTAAAAGAAGAGAATAATTTTAACCCCACTCGATAGCGGCTTAATGTTATAACATATTCTAAGTGATTAAAGATAAATTTAAATCTATCTCCTTTAAAAAAACTCTCAGTAGTATTGTTTTCACAATGAGTAGATTAGAAGAGAAAATATTAGATGCACTGGACACAATTGGGTAAGTCATCATTATTTTTTTTTTGAAGGTAGAAATTATTTTGACATTTGAGTAAATTTAAAAAAGGCAGCCTTTAGGTATAGATATTTCAGTATTGATAGACTAGAAAGTATGACCCAATACAATACTACAGTTCTATAAAAGAAAACAAACATGTTAAATTCTTATTTCTGTTGCAGTATTTGTTTTATATTCTGTTTTAATATGATGAACAAACATATATGTTAACAAAAAATTGATACCTTATTTGACAAATATTTCTTTTTTTTAGATATTCTGGACCACTGCTTCAGAAGCCACATTTTCCTCTAGCAATAGAAGGAGGACCAAAGAGCATAGAATATACCAAGGTTATTAATTTCCTTACCAATGAAATTCGTACTCTTCAAGGTATCGACGAAGAGGTTAATGCTATAACATGCCCCGAGGATTCTGTGGCATTTATAATGGAAGTTACTTCCTTTCTTAAGGAATTAAGTATGCAATATTGCTTTGTACTTACTTATAAAAGTAGAAAATGCTTTCTCAATTATTGTTTCATGTGGTTGAAGTTTGTTTTCAACAAGTATTTTAGAGAGAAGTAGTACTTGAATCCCTTTTTTTTTTCTATCTCAAATGTGTTGAATCTAGTTTTTTTTTTAGATTGTCCTTACAAATCACTAACCCACGGCCACGTTTCGGATCGTTTACAAAATGTTTCGGATAGACTCTTATTGTTAGATTACTTGTTAACGGAATTAATGGGAGCTCGCATACTGGCAGATAAGAGGCCGGAAAAAAAAATTGAGTTGAAACTTGTAAGTAGTAGGGTTGAAAAGAGTTTTCATTTAAATAACCTAATCATTACTTTTACAGCAAGAAACTCCTGAAGGAAAGGACATGCGGTTAATATTACAAACTCTACGTTTTCCGAAGCCTCCAGCAAATATATCAATAACTACTTTGTTCCAAAAACTCGGACCCACCATCCCTATAGTTTTGAATAAAGCAGGAGCCGACATTGTTGGTCAAGGAATATTCAATGGGTTCCTTTCAGAAAAACAATGGGGTATTCTTAATGGTGTTCAAAATGATTTAAACAAGGAATATAGAATCAGGAGAGAAATGTTGCTTACTCGGTTGGATGTCACTATACAGTCTTTTCAGGTATATTTATGATTTGAGATTTCAAAATGTGCTGGATGTTGAAATTGATTTTGTAGTGGTCTGATAGAACAAGAGGTAAAGATGATTTATTTGAAAAAGTTTACCATGAGAATCGTAAACTCTTAAAAGTTGATCCGGATGTTGATTTATCTGATCTAATAGCAGCCAGAACTGATATTGCTATCATTGAAAAAACAAGCAATTCTTCAGTGAGGAAAAATACAAGATCACAGCTTAATAAAGTGATAATTGGACAGGCAAGTATTTTTTGTGTAACACTTTATAAATCCATTGGGGGAAAGCCTTTTTTGGTCTGCCTCTTCATTATCATTTAGTCAAATAACCCTTTTGATTCGAAATCTGTTGTAAGTAGCTGGGTAGTAGGTTCCCACAGTTGAAAGTCTGAGTGTATGAATTGCCTTGTTCAAATAAATCTGAAGACTATCAAGAAAAGATACGTACGTATAAAATAATAACTATTTCGAAATTGAATCTTCAAACATTCATCCTTCCCAGTTTTGATTTTGAAACTATCAAAAAACCCACAATAATCCTCAGAGGACTGAAAGATGAAAAAATATTAAAATGTATCACTATAGAATTCAGATAAACTTTGATAAGACTTTTCAATCACTAGTTTTTTATTTCTTACAGCATTATAGCTCCTCTCGGCACTCTCATCCTGTTATTTAGTGAATATTTTTACCCAGTTATAGATCGAAGAATCTAGATTGGTTGTGGGGATAGGAAGATTCAGATTATTTCAACTAGTTCAATAGCAGATATTTTTCCTATTCTTATGGATTATAGAGGTCATCTCTAATATGAAAATTGATGCAAGATACAAGCTGATGTTGTATGAATAAAGGTTTGCATAATTCCCACCATTTTACTCTACAAAATTACGTAACTTCTCGCTTCTAGAATGTAAACACCCACTGAAAAATCTGACCTTTCAATGAATAAAAAATGCAATTGATTGTCTGAAGGTAATACTTATAGAAAAAATTTGAAATATACCTCTTTAAAAAAGGCTAATCAAAATTTTGAGGATATTATTGATTTCATAAATACACAGAAAATTCCAGTAATATTTGTCCAACTTTAACCAAAATGGTGGTGCCACCATATCCGTCACTTCTAAAAAATTTAGATAGAGGAGTATAATTCTCCAAATGACAAAGCTCCTTAAAGCCAATACCCGACTAAAAGAGGAATATTCGGATTTTTTCCTTCTTCAACAAGTATCAATAGATAACATTTCCTACACGATCAGATATATCCTTGATTTTTTTTTATTATTTAATTCCCTGGTGAAATATCTGCATTATGAATGAATTTATGTCATGTAGGGTACTTTTATCTTCAAGATGCCATAACAAGATGGGGTCACCAGCAAACAATGTAAAATTTCCTGAAATCACCCACATCGGATAAGGGTTTCCTTTGGAATATAAGTTGGGTATTCTGTGTATTTGTCATTAGTATCAGTTGTCAGGTGTAGTTTGTAGTATTCATTTTTGAATTTTATTTGCTGTTTGAAAGTCATTTTCATCATATTCATTTTCAATTTAATTTTCCTAATAATTAGTCAAAGTAACATTGTGAAAAATTGGCAGGACAGCTGATACTAAAAAAATACACAGAGTAGTCAACTCAGAAATAAAATTCTTGTCTGATATGGTCTGTTGGTAGCAGAGTCAGATCATTTACGTATTCAGAAATTCGAGATGAAAACCGGTAAAAATGTTGCTATGATGTCAGTCATAACTACACCAACTTTTCATTTTAGGTGCCTGATAGAGGAGGCAGAACATCCGAGATAGCACCACCCCCTCCAGAAATGCCTTCTTGGCAACAGAGATCTTCTGGTCCGGCTGGTGGTGGTCGTGGAGGAGGCAACTTCAATAGAGGTGGTGGAAACTTTAATAGAGGAGGGGGAAACAATTATTCGAGGGGCGGAGGAAATAATTACTCATCAGGAGGCGGAATTTCAAGTAGAGGTGGGTATTCCTCAGGAGGGGGAAACTACCAGTCGAATCAGGCCCGTGGAGATTATAATAATTCCGGTTATGGAAATAACAGAAGCTACGATAGTGCTGGCAGTTATAATGCCGGTAATAAATACGGAGGAAATGAATCTAGCGGGTATGGTAGCAGAGGGGGGAGCTATGATAATTCCCGAAGTCAAGGTAATTACGGGAGAGGACTCGACAATTCTAATTCTGGTAGTTATGGTGGTGGTGGTAGAGCCAACGACCGTGGAAATAATAGAGACTACGATTATGATGGCGGCAACAGGAGAAATAGCGGAGGTAGTTATAGCTCTCAGGATTTCCAACAGACTAAAAGAGCTAAAACTTATGATTCTTTTCAAGCGAATAAATCAACTTACGCCGATCAATATGTTCAAGAAAGAGAACATAATCAACAGTACTCTTCGAGAGGAGGAAACACTGGCCGGTCCAATTACCAGAGGGGTAGAGGTGGAAGCGGTTACAGATAAGTCGCCAGAGAATTGGTTTTCTTTTTCATCATTTATAAGATCACGACTTATATATAAATTTCATATTATGTAAAATGTAATTTCAAATGAGAGAACATACATTGTATTAACTGTTCTGAATTATGTAATTAAAGTGACTAACATTCAGCAATACTCTTTTCTTTGTGAAATTAACAATAAACCATATTTATCATACACCAATGAGTAAAAAGATTTCAAATTTGCAGTAAAATCTGCTAATAGTGAAGAATGAATTGAATTTATTCAGTTCCAATATTTTTATTGTTATTATTCACAATGGTTGGGTGAAGACTAACTTGTAATAATATTTCCATATCTTCATATATAATAAAAGTCCACATGCCCAACATGAATGTTGTTACTGAGTCATCATTGTTAATACAATTGGTAGTTTTTTGTGTCAACGGCATCGACTGCTTTCGTCATTAGCCTTGTGTTCTGAGTAGTCATTGTTAATAACTCCTCGGAGAGATTATCGTAGCTTTTGGCATGTAACGTTAAAGAATCATCCCAATTTCAACTAAATTCTCTTAAGAAAAATATCTTATCGAGGTAGGGATCAAACTCACTACCTTTCGATCGTGAGTCGGGTGCACTACCCTGCGTCAACTCACTGCTTAGTGTCGCATTCTTTCTACTAAAAGTAATAATAATGGACCAAAATTTGAAACTTGTGGTAATTCAGTGATAAAATAATTACACAAGTAAATATTCATTAAAATATATTTCAAGGTATATTCATATTCAAGTACTTCAGAATGCTTACTTCACTTTTCTTCTTATTATTTCTAGTTTTCAAAGAGCAATTTCTTTTTGAGGATTGTTCCGTTTCTTTCTCAACATGCGAATAATTTATTTGATGGTGTAATTTTCGAGCCATGTGGTAGTCACTGTGAAATGTTATATCTTCTAGTTTTATTCTTTTTTTACACTCAGAGCAATATTCGCTATTATCTTCGTTCAAGTCATCATATTTTTTCAAGAATTCTAATAACGGCACTGACTGACCAGATTTTCTTTTAACTCCTTGACTGCGCACCTTTTCATCATCCAACTGTTTTTCTTTATGCTCCATGCTTTTTGACTCAATCGCATTTTTTATTCCAGACTTCTGGTGAATTTTGGTACTACTTGAAGCATATTCTTCATCCAAATGTGAGACACACTTTTCGTTATCATTAACCTTTGTCATATCGTTCGTCTCCAAGTTATCAACAATTGATTCATTTGTTTGTAATACTTGCTCCTCATTTAATGACACATTCTTTTCTAATTCAGTTTCACTGATAGTAGTTTCATTGTGAAATGAATTGTCAAATGTTTCGTTAATAATGCTGTTACTTTTGAAATACTCATTAAAAAATGACTCGGGTTCTTTCTCAATGTTTGTAATATCTGAAAAATAAAGTGCCTTTAAAAAATCAATGATAGAAAGAAATTTATTTGTTGCAGAGACCAACTACATGGTATCGGGCATGTTAATTCAAACTTGACATAAATAATCAACTAAATTAGATATAAGAAAAGAATTTGTTAAAAATTTGAACTGTATACACAGATTGAAAAAAATACATACAAGTACATTTAAATATATAAGTACAGTACGTAAATAGTCCCTCCTTAACTTTCAAACTGGGCAACTCTGAGAAAAAAATTCGTTTCGCTAGTGATCCAAGTTTATTATAATAATAATAATAATAATATTTATTTATCCTTTGAGACGTTAACAACGTATAGGACATGTCAGTACAACACGTTAAAATACATACATACTGATACACACTGATACATACTGATTCATAATGAAGTTCATATCTCGATTTCAAAATAGGATTGGGACAGTTTTTTTGATAAAACAATGACCAAATGAGTGTAACTAGAAACATAACATGAGATGAGTATTATTCAATGTTCAGAAGTAATCATTTTTCTGACCGAAAACCACAATATAAGCACCGGTGTATATAGTTTGAATATGGATCAATGGGGTATTTTGAAATAATTTTATTACATAATTATATAATTTGAAAATTACCTTCCAACTCGATGTCCGTGGAGCAATGTGAATATTCGTTAGCATCACTAATTTTCTTGAAAGGTTCCCATTTCCATTCCTCAGTACATGAGGGATTCTGTGAGGAAACATTGTATTGTTCATTTTCAACTTTTTGATCATCACTATGAATTACCGAACTTGTCACGTTGGTATCTTCATCAGTATTCTTGTCAAGTATCTTTTGAAAAATATTATTAGAGTTATTCAAAAAAGATTTTATACTGGATTTTTTTGGTAAATTTTGAAAGTTTCCTGAACTCAATCCCAAGTATGTTATATTATTAAAAGTTCCATCTGATTTGGAACAGAATTTTCTGATGGTATTTAAACAGTCTTCTCGTATTTTTGAATGTTCATAGGAGTTTAAAGAAATCGTTTTTGAACCGCTAATATTTTTACTCCCGATGAATTGAGAGAAACTAATGACAATCTGCTTCGCCTTTCTACTATTTTCTTCCATGTCTTTTTCTAATCTTTCAGAAATCTCTAATGCCAATTCATTCATCCATTTCTCAACGCTTCCTGATGATATCAAACAGTTTTTTCCAGGAAATCTTTTGCAACAACTGATCGATTTAGATATAATCCGAGATTTGACCGGTTCCAAATCTACACCTCGTGCAATATTGTATAACCACTTGCTGGAAACAAATCATTAGAAAAATTAATGTCTTTGTTTTTTCAACTTACCCAGTTTTCTCTTCAAATTTCTGTATCAATTCTTTTTCAGTAAACTTCATCAATTCACCAATATGCAAAATCTGCAATTCTTCTGAGATGTTTTTACCAAATTTCCCCCCTAAACTTTTGATTTTCTCAAGTGGTAAATTTTTGAAATATTCGATTACTGACTCTTGCGGAAAAATAGTCTGTGCATTTGGTTTGTTCAGTCCGCAAGCAAGTTTTGCTAGAATTTTATTGTGAGCAATGCCTGCAGAACATCTGTACCCTAAAATTGTTTATTTAATACAGCAAACATAGGAGCATGTATTCATTGAAAAAACTATTTTCTTGCCTGAACAGAAATGCTGTTTCTCGACACACGATTCACTAATCAAGTCAGCATAACTGTGGTATTTTAGTCTCTCCAGATGATGCAAACTTGATTAGCGAAACGCATGCTGAGAGGCAGCATTTTTGCTCTGGTGAGAAAAAAGTGTTATCATTCGATTATTTTCATGCCAGAAGTTCCAAATTAAACTTATCAAATGAACATGTTTAATATAATTATAATATTAGGTGAAAACCAGAACAATTAAAAGTATATATTTGAGTTTATTCATTCATATTTCAGAAACACTCAACAGACTTCCAAAGTAAAAATTTGGTTCTTATCTGGAATGGAAGGTAGATCATTGCAAAATATTTTAGATGATTCACTTTTAATCACTCAAAAATAATTACCTGTTTTTTCGAATACGTCTCTTCTGATCTCTTCAGCAATTAGGGCTCCCATAGCCAACTTATAGTTGCTCTCAGAAAACTCCCTACTGTTCATGATATTATCCAAAAAATCTTTAACAACATATCCAACAACATGAGTATTTGGGAGTTTGTCTAAAGAAATTTGTTCAATATATTTTGTCAATCTTTTGTTCACCTCTTCTGTAATGTCCAAATATGCTTCATCCACGGATGCTCTCTCCAGGAGGGAAGTGAATGCTTGCAAAACATTTGCAACTTGTTTTCCAGCTTCTCTATACCTGTATAAGACATTCTGATTTATTATTATAATTCAACAAGTTACAAAAGTGGAATACTTTGGATGTAATTAAATGTTATTTCAATTTGAATTTCCACTTACTTGGTAAGATCAGCTCTTCCCCGAATTTGAGATACAGTCGCAAATAAAATTTCTGGACACTTCTCTTTTGCTTCGTAGCACCATAGACCTTTGGTCACTCCTTTTTCTCTAGCCAAATAGTTGGCCGCAATGATTCTAAAATAGGCAAGAAAAGACAAAATAGTTAGGGTGAATTCATGATTCGTGCCTTATAAGTTGCAAGTAGTAAATAATAAGTTGGATCAGTGATTTTTCAGAGGCAACCTTTATGTTATATCACATTTACATACTTCTCATGTCAATCTATGTGATTCTCAGACTTGAAACTTGCAACTTTAGACTGATGCATGAATCCACCTCCAAATCAATGAATATCAAAAGTATTTGAGGACCTTTTTTAAAAACTGGGGATGTTGGATTAAAAGGAATTATAAACGTTGGGAATATTAGTAAGTATGAAGTCTGGTAGTATACTCCTCACCCTCCTTCTCTCCAAGTATTATATTGTACAACAGCAACTGGTTTGTTTTGCAAATTAGGGTTTAATTGTTCTTCTACCTGGCAATAAAAACAATCAATATCCACAAGAACTATCACCCTATCAGTAAAATACATAGTGATATTTTGTTATTGAACAAAATATTTATTATAGGTGTTTTGTTCACACTAATTTTATTCCATATATGTCATTACCGCCAAAATTTATTCGCTCTTCTGCTCAATCAAAATAATAAAAAATTAAGCGTTTTGAAAATGTGGAGGTGAACCATAGAAATGATAATAATAATAATAATAATATTTTACATATATAGGGTGGTATTATGGACTGATGTCACTGTTACCACAGATTAAACAATTCCACCTGCGGATCACACAACGTCTTGGCCATGCGTTATATCATGTGACCAATCAAATCCCAAAATTTTCACATGGAAATAAGCAACACATAAAACATCGTGACATTGTATCTGAAGTTGTGTATGAGTGACGTAAATGCCAAAACGTGAACCCTTTCATCTTTTTTTAGTTTTCGGAGTCAATTTTCTCTCTTTAATTATTAGGCCATATTATGACGTCACTGGCACCACCACACAATAGCACACAGATCACAGACTCAATGGAGCGAAGGTGTTTTCTGGAGTATAATCGTATTCGAGCGTCTATTTAGAAACGATTTGTAGTGACGTCATTAATAATAAGATTGGTCAGAATGAAGTGATTTAATTTGTGCCAGATGTCAAAATCAATAATAAAAACAAACTTTTCAATTTTCTCTAACTTCAATTAGAATCGTATTTGTGCAAGTAATGATTTCGTAGCTTCATTTTGTACATCCTTACAACGTATTTGATGAAAGGTTTACAGCATTTTATAAACTATAACGATCAAAATAAAACAGAAACTGACAATAGACGTAACGTCAAATTCCATTTCAAAACCAGTATATTTTTCAAACATATATCACCATCTAACATACAAACCATATCCAAATTCCTGATTGCATCCAATATAAAGCTGTAGTGATCAAGACAGACCTAATACTTGTGCGCATGCAGTGCTTCGCCAATCATGACCTGATCGTAGTCCATACACGTAACCGTAGTGCATCACCTCACATTAGTGTTTACACTCTAGTGTAGACGGATATTGCTTGTTAACTGACCTCAAACTACAATCGAACTTTGTTTTAGCGCAAAACCAGGTAGGGTTTGGGTCCAACTCAGATCCACTTTAGTGTGGGCTCCATCTGGAACATGATCCTGGAACTCCTGGCTGGATAGCCCTGACAGCTAAAGCCATTAATGGAAAAAAAGAAGAAGAACCAGTGAACTCGGTTGTTCGCGTTAAGAAGAGAATGACGTCACAAGATGACAAGTTACGGCGTTGCCAACATGTGCACTATTTCGAACTTTTAAATTTTTTTGTACCATTGATATGTTTTATTGCTATTATCCTTACTTACTTTAATATTTGTTGGGACTATTTCGATAATGATTCAGACATATTGAATATACGCAGGTCTTATCAAACGAAATGATTAGTTCTGAAAAGAAAGACTGACAGTTGAGTTTCTTTCGATTCGACAACATCTGAAATTTTACTATCACTTGAGCAACTTACAAAATGAAATGTTACTAGTTTCATTGCTGTTGAACGCATTTCAGTGGGAATTTTAACGTTGTTATGTTGGATATACAAAATTACCAAAAATGACGTCATTCTCTTCTTAACGTGAACAGTATACATTTAACTGTTCAAAACCAACCTCACGGTAGTATACATTTGGCAAGGGTAACGATACAGCCGATATATTAGCCAATATTGGAAAAACTCCTCTCTCTAATCATTCAAGCAGACTATAGAGAGAAGTATTAAAAAATAATAAAAATACTCAAGTGACTCCACTGTCCAAGGTACAATCGACCAGTCAATCTACATCAACTAAAGTAGACCAGTTAAATACTACAGACTGACCCTATCAATATAGTAGGGACGAACAATTTAAAGCCAAACTTTACTTTCCCTCTGTACCACAACCTTACAAAACGTCAATATGTGCAGAATTAGTAGCACATATTTCTTTAGTAAAGCGCATCTCCCCAAACTTAAGATAGTTGATGACGACCGTTGTAAATGTGGGGAAATACAGACTTTCCTACAAATATTTTTTGCCTGTTTCAACAATTTTCACAATATACAAACGCTACATGCCTCTGTCCATTAGCCCTTCCTCAACAATTCAGCCTCTTACCTTCCACGACATCTTTTTCAAACACATATCACCATCTCCCAATTTCTAATTGCATCTAATATAAAGCTCTAGTGACCAAGACAGTCCTAATACTTGGGGGCATGTAGTGCTTAGCCAATCATGACCTGATTGTAGTGGTCATATACATAACCGTAGTGTATCACTCACAGTGGTGCTTATACTCTAGTGCAGTCGGACATTGCTCGTTAATTGACTTCAAATTACAGTTGAACTTTGTTTTAGCGTAAATCCAGCTGTGGTTGGGTCCGACTCAGACCCACTTCAATGCGGGCTCCACCTGGAACTCCTGGCTGAAGCCACTAATGGAAAAAAAAGAAGAACCAACGTCATGCTAGTTTTGAATAAGTTTCTTTGGTGTGACGTCATCGTTTCAATGCTAAACGATTATATTTGAATTACAGACGAATACATTTAGAATCCATGAGCATCAGAAAACACTTATAGTTAATAAATGCTACTTTAAAAATACGTAACTCTCGGTGCATAGTTATACCACAGTATTTCTGTATACAAAATACTGTGGTTATACATGTAACAATTTCAATCACAGTCTCTGTCCTAATCTAATTGAACCAATATGATTGTGACTAAATATTAAAACTTTCCATAAATACTTACACAGAAATTCAGAGGTTCAATTTGATATTACGAGTATGAAAGTAACAAAACATCAACTCTATGAATATGTAAATCAAATAAAATTCGTCAATACAATAAGCAAATATAAGAGACTTGATGAAAAATGAATAGTCAAACTTCACTGATTCACATAACCATACGAAAATAAGGCATAAATCTAGAATACCAACAATAAATAATAATAACTTTTTTCGCTCAACAGAATTTAATTTGAAATAATTAGTAAATGAATAAAACAGTAAACGATAAGTACCCAAGTTCTTGTCTCCTTATAACAATACACATACTTGAAATTAAATTTAAATAGGTTTATAAAATTATAATGAATTTTCAATATAGTAATAACGTAGCGGTACAGAGAAACAGTGATGAAAAGGTAATTTTCATATGTAAATGCTCCCCTTTTATACCCACGAGAGGCGCCCCAATTGGAATATTTGAAAGTCCTTTCTTAGTACGCATCTAAGACCTAAGAAGCACCTATATACCAAATTTTAGCTTCCTAGGACTTACCAGTACGGATAAGCAGATGAATGAGTGAGTGTTAGGTCAGTGACTTTCACATTTATAGATTAGGCCCATTATTGAAGAAACACTTTTTGCAAGATATAATGAGGTCAATATGTCAGAAAGTACTTTGTGCAGCAAACATTTATTATAAAAATATATACATGACCGAATGAAAGCTAAAAAGTGCTAAAATTTCAAAACTATAAAATTCTTTCTATTCTTGACAGTACATTTTTTGACTAATTTCCATTCTTTAATTGTGGCAGAGACACATTCATTTCAACATGAATTCTTTTTGCCACATGATAATCTGTGTGAATTGAGAAGTCAGGCAGTGGAATCCTTTTGTCGCAATCAGAACAATATTTGCTATTTTCTTCGTTCAGTTTCTCAGACTTTGCGAAAAATGATGATATCGGTTTGGCATTACTGACTTTTCTTTTCAAGCTAGTCTTAGATGACGCACCTTTTAGTGAAGATTTCACTTCAGGTGATATTTTTCTTTTACCTTTGTTTTTATGTATATCAACTCCTTTTTCTATATGGAGGCGTTTTTGAGGTGCATACAAATGTGCCTCTTGTTTTACTATTTCTAGAGCAAAGTGAAAGTCCATATGTGATTGCATCTCAGTGATTTCAATTTGTTTACTACATTTAGGGCAGACACGTTCATCACAATTTGTATAACTTTGCACATTCTGAAAAATTTCGTCAGAAGTTTCTTCAGGCATTGAGACATTTACACGATTTTCATCTTCACTATACTTAGGTTCAATCATCGATACGCCACTTTCAAGAGATTTTTCAAAGTACTCATTAAAAAAAGACTGGGTAGATATTTTGCTTTTATCTTCCTCTTCACTATTCTCAAGGAAATTAATTTCTCTGAAAACTGATTCGTTGTGAACATTGGAAGTTACCTCGAATGAATTACTAAGAGGACTTTTAGAAACTGACTCAGGATAAATATCTTCATAGCAAATATAATTTGTAGGCTCTTCATCAAGATCATCAGTTGAAGCAGAATATACTGACAGATTTTCCGGATCACACTCTTTATCTATTGGATTGACTTCATTCTCAATTTCGCTTTCATCTTGATGAGATGAAAAAGGAAATTTTGCATCAGAATAAGATGCTGAATTTTCAAGAGATATCCCATTTTTTATTTTCCCATGAAAGGTTTCATCTGTGGAAGATATCTGAGATGGACTAACTTTTTTGAAAAATGATGTTATATTCATATTACTTTTAGTGTCTTGAAAGTTTCCGACGCTTATTCCAAGGAATGTTATTTTGTATGACCCGTCAATATTTTGACAGAACTTTCTCACAACTTCTATACTGTCTTGGACAATTTTTCTTTGATCGTAACAACTGAGGTAGTGCGTGCGGGAACTACTTATCTCCTTTTTATTAATTTTCTGTGCAAAACTAATGACCATCTGCTTTGCCCGTCTATTATTCTCTTCCAAGTCCTTCTCCAGCCTCTCGGAAATTTCTGAAGCCAATTCATTCAACCAATGTTCTACATCATCTTGAGTGGTCAAACAATTTACTCCAGGAAATCTTTTACAGCAACCAATGGATTTCGAAACAAGTCTCGTCGTTACTGGATCCAAGTCAATTCCTCTGGCAATATTGAATAACCATTTACTACAAATAATAAAAATAATAACTTTTGAGATATTTCATTTTAGGAACAATTTTATAATTTTTTTTGTAACTTTACCCATTCTTTTCATCAAATCTTTTAATCAATTCTTTTTCGCTGAATCGTATAAGTTCTCCCATGTTAGATATTTGAAGTTCCTCAGACAAAAGGTCTCCAAATTTACCTCCTAAACTTTTAATTTTTTTAACTGATAAATCTTTATACAATAATTCTACCGATTCTTGGGGCAATATAGTTTGTTTATTTGGTTTGTGTAATCCGCATACAAGTTTGGCCAAAATTTTATTGTGTGCTATTCCCGCTGAACATTCATAACCTGAAACATATTTTTAATGTATATCTCCAATGAAAATTTATCGAATCTACAAACCTGTTTCGATGAACACTTTTTCTCTTATTTCTTCTACAATAACTCCCCCAAGAGCTAATCTGAAATTGCTTTCAGATAATTCCATATTTTCTAAAAAGTTCTGGGTGTCATAACCAACTACAAAGGTATTTTTCATTCTATCAATAGACAAATATCCACTAGATTCGGCATCATTCTTTCTTCTATCAACAAGTTCTGTAATATCCAGATAGGCTTCATCTATGGATGCTCTTTCAAGACGTAATGTGAAAGTTTGTAATACTTCTGCAACTCTCTTTCCTGCCTCTCTGTACCTGATTTAAAAAAAAAACTGTTATGAAATATACTTTACGCTTCTTTCTAGAAGTTTGTCTAAAATTTTCACAAATTTCTAATAAATGGCTGGCAAAAACTTATAGTAGTATTGCCTACTCACTTTGTCAAATCAGCTTTGCCACGAACTTGTGGAACTCTTGCTAAAACGATCTCTGGACACTTCTCTTTTGCCTCATTACCCCTCATATGCCTTGTGACACCCATTCCTCTGGCCGGATAGTTGACTGCGATTATCCTATTTTCAATATAGAGTACTTTATTTCATGTTGAAAAAACAGATCCCAAACACAATACATTTGTGATCCATCACCAGACACCACTTTTCAGACTCACCATAAGTCTCACCAGTGGTGAGAGGGTGAACCACAAATTCAATTCTATTGCTGATCTCAACTGACTTTGAAGGACAAGTTAACAAGGGCGATGACATCTTCCCTTACGAAGACACCATATGGGATCGACAGATAAGTGAGGCTCCCCAAGTTGCCAGCTCTCGGAAGTCAAAACTCGTGCGAGACAAGGATTAATGAGGCCTCACCTTTTAAAGTTCATTTCTAGCTAGGGTTGGATGATAGGAAGCGGTCGATTGAGTGAGTGGAACAAACCACCCGGGTCAACCCAACCGGCTACCGTCCTACCATATGAATCAAAGCTTCAAAATAGTAGCTAAGCTAATATGCATCATAGAAGTAATGTTCAAGTAAAAACTTTTTAGTTGTTGATCAACATATAGCAAGTTTCTACAGCAAACAGCTGTAGAGATCAGCTGATCTTGTATGGTAATTATTAGTGTCCGAATGGTTTTACTGTTTCCATTAATGTTAAGATTTGCCAAGATTCGAATGGCCTTTTTTGACATCTGAAGACAGCTATATAGAATTTGATGAGAAACAAAGAAGACTGCTTACCCTCCCCCTCTCCAAGCATTATACTGAACAACAGCGATAGGTTTCCCTTTCAAACTGGAGTTCAATTTTTCTTCCACTTGGCAATAAAAACAATCCATATCAATCAAAACTATCACTCTGTGAGCATGTGCCATTTTCTAAAAACAATTTAAGCATACATCAATTGGTATGAATGTTTCTTAAAAATGCAAAACACTTTCACAATAAACATTATTCATTTCATAATATTCCATAATTTTCTGATAAGAAGTAATGCATTGTTAGAGTTGAGTTTTCAAAGATATAAATGGGCCCAAAATTTCAGTTAATTTGTATTAAAACCAAAATAAATATAAAATTTTCTGTTTTGGAACATTTGAATTTTGACATTACTTAGAGGTTATTCCCCAAGCGAGGGAAAAATCAAGTACAAACTAGTACAAAGAGATGGCGGTTGTTGTAAATGTCATATTAACAAGATGTCTGCCTCAAAGTAAAGATTACTCTGAGGATGTCTGCTAGTAAATCTGGAGCTTCAGGCGAGTTCTTAAATTCATCGATGGGTATTTCGAATAAATCCACTGGATTTATCTACTGGTTATCAGTGTTGCCAACTAATAGAACTATAAAGTCGCTACACATGAATCAAAATTTCGCCACATTGACGCAATCAGTTGGCTCAAGCGCCCTATCCAAAATTGAATATCACAGAACTTACAGTTTGTAGTTTGTGTACCGTTCAGATACCACCAAACTGAACTGTCACTAATGTAAGTAATCAGGATCATGATAATTTTCAACCGCGCAACTCTATTGAGTACCATCTACTGATGGTACCTAATTTTCTAAGTTTACAGCAGTTAATTTTTGAAAGTTGTCGTCTCGACCAAATATTTCTTAGCTTGAAAAAATTATTTTGAAAAGTAAAAATTGAAATCAATTTGTTCACGTACGTATATTCACCCTGAGCTCTTGAATGATCATTCGCGACAGGACTAATCCATCCTTTCAAGTTGGAATCAGACAAACAATGTTGATAAAAAGTTTGTTTTCGAGACTTTTTGTATTTTTTGAACATATCCCATTCCCGTCAATTCCAACTGCAATAGCTTTTTCGCTTGAGTCATAATCAGATGAACTATCTTTTATTTCTACAGTAATTTGTTTCATATAAGTTATACTACTCGAGACAGTCGAGACTTTCAGTTTCAAGGTATTGGAGGTTATACGGTTTAACATATGAATGAAAATATTCAAAAATATTCTTCTCATTCATCATGTAAAGGCCTCACTACTAAGACTATAACGTATTAGCTGTCAGCTTCGAGTGCTGTCTGCGGATAGCCTTAGGTGCTGTCATTGAATCGAAAAGAAGAAGGAGAGTACTGTCCACTGCCTCTTCTTCCATATTTTTTTCAATATTGATCATAGACACTTCCGCTACTTTATGTTCAAATCCGCTACGCCGCTACCGTCGAGTAAATTCCACTACAGTAGCGGAATGCCGCTACGGTTGGCAACTCTGCTGGTTATACGTGTTCCAGATGTTTAATGGTTGGTAAAACTGAAATTAGACATAGAGTAAAATCATGGAATACAGATATCTTAATGCCCCGAAGAACAGAGCTGGCGGGAATATCTTTTGGCGGAAATGAATCAATCCGAAAAAATAAATGAGTGAATGATTCAATCTGAAAAACTACAGTGCATACTCGGTGTAATTTTTCCTCCTTCTTTTTAATACTCATGTCTGCAATGGATAAAAATTCAGTGAGTTTGCACTAGTTTTCCTATCGATTTCGGAAAGTCGAAAGCACTTTCAAACATAAAATACATTTATTATGCATCGGGAAATATTCTTCATGCAATTTTCAATTTCTTATGTGTACATGTAATGCGAAACGAAGTCAACAGTTTAACTTTCAACTGTGACAATAGTTTTACTTATGGAAGACGCCATTGACAGCCTAACCTTTTTTTTTGGCAAATGACAAATGACCGATTAGTTTAGATATAAACAAGGTTACTGTATAACAAAAATATGCCTTCGAAAAAGAAAAAGTATAATGCTAGATTTCCAGCCGTGAGTATTGAAATTAATGAATTGATCAATCAGTTTAATGAATACTTTCAGGGAAGAATAAAAAAAATTATGCAGACAGATGAAGAAGTTGGAAAAGTAGCACAAGCAGTACCAGTCATAATCTATATCCTTTTAAACGTTTTTTATAATATTAGGCCGTACTTTCAAAAATTTATAATGCAAAAAAATAAAAAATGGCAATATATAGGTAGCTCCTTTCACATAGGTAAAGAAAAAAAAGTTGAGATTTGTTTTTTGAATGGTTTTCACTAATTCTCATTGGGACAAGAGCACATCTGTGTATCGGTGACAAAATTTTTGCAAGAATTGAGTGACATCTTTCAAAATTATTCAAAAAGATGCTGGTGTTGAGTTGAAAATTGTGTACTCTAAATACTTTGAAGTAGGTACACCTAGAGATTCAAAACTTTTCTTGTAAGTGGAATGTTATACCAATACTCTTTCACATTGTGTAAGGTTCTTGCGAATGATATCTATTTCATTTCCGGTACAAACGTTTGGTGTACAAAGTGATTTGGAAGTTAATCAATGTTTACATGTTTCAAAGTAGTTTCTAATATGCTTCTTCTTCTAGTTGATATCTGATCTACACATCTTTTTAGAGAAGTTTTGTTTTTGTATGTAATTTTTTATTCCATTCTTTGAAAGTTTCCTGTTTTTAAATTTACCTGGAGGTAAAGGAATCAATGTCTATTTTAAACCATAATGGGATTATTAAATTACCAATGTTAAAATTTTGGTCTCCAGTTTGGCTTGTTCAAAGTCAAAATAGGCTTCATTGTCTGAAGATTCATATCTTATTGACAAGGCTTGATTATAATAATTAAAAAAAAAACAAACAAATAAAATTACAAATATTAGCTATCGCTATTTAGTCAGATATAACTATACACTATAAAATAATATACATTTCTAGTCCGGTGAATATAATTTTCAAGTAGATACTGAATATACAACAAAAAATTACAGAAAAAGATAACAAAAACAGTTTGTATTTACACAGCACAATACAACACTAAGAAAATAGCCATAAGAATGTATTTCAAATATTTCCAATATTGATTACTCAAAATGTAGACATAAGTCGAATCAAAAAGTATCTTTATAGTACTCTGATAAATTATAATAGGTTTTCTCAAAAGTGCATTAATGAAAAAATGGCATCATGTGTGTTTTTTCTACTCTGGAATCCAAACTGACATTTGTTTAATATCTTATTTTTCACAAGAAAATTGACTAGTCTTCTCTTGACTAGGTTTTCTATAATGTTTGCAAGTTTTGTTATTAAGGAGATAAGTCTAAAGTTAAAAGAGATACCAATATCTCCACCTTCATGAATTGGAATCACAATAGAGGTTTTTGAGAAAATTTGGGAAAACTCCTTCATTAAATGGGGTATTTAGTAAATCAACTAGTATTGATAAAGCATTGCTGGCAGATTTTTGAAAATATTCAAGAAGATGTCGTTAATTCCTGAAGCGTGTTTATTTTTCATCTCCCTAAAGATCCCTTTCAATTCTGAGGTTCGTGGATAACACGGAATTTGACTATTTTCAGTTAATTTTTCTCCAATTAGGCGTGTCCAATTTTTTCTTTCTACCCTTTCCCCTGAGAACATTGATTATCTTTATTGTTTATTTTGACTTATTGCTTGCTTTGTTTATTCTATTAGTATAATAGAGAGTTTCAGCTATTTTAATGGCGTTTCAGTAAATTCTGCAGTAGTGGGTGAAATAATTCATGAAATATGCGGATGTTGTAAACTTTCTAATGTATTGTAAGCAACGAATAAGTTATTTATTTTTTTGTATTCAGATATCATTGTTTTTCTTAACCTTAGAATACCTAGAACCTTGGAACTTTTTGTCGAATCACTTCTGACAAAATCCATGCAAATTACTCAGGCCCGAAATGCAAAAACTTTGACTCCGTCCCATATGAAACAGTGTATTCTATCAGAAAGCCGTTTTGATTTTCTGAAAGATTTGGTTAAAAATATTCCGGACGCTAGTATTCAGGAAGATAATGAAAATAATGCTATTTCTGAAGAAAACTTGGATACTAACAAAACTGAAGATTCCATTAAAATGGAGGAATCAGACGACTCCGAAAAGTCCAATACTGAAGAAGAATTAACGAGAAATTCAACAAAGAATGAGAAGTCCCTCCAGATGGAAGCAAATGATTATAGTCGACAAAGCACTTCCACGAGTAGAACACCTGTTATTCAATATGGCCCTAAAATAGTAGAAGCTGAAGCAACAAGGCTGAATTTTTCAGTCAATAGATTGTTGGGTCAGGAAGACAAACCGAAGTTACACATAACTATTGCATCAGAAAATTCCCCTGTGCCCCAGCTTGTTCCAGCAAATAGATCAGTTAGCAGTTTACCAACTAGGGTAGCCCCTAGCAGTAACGTGCCCCCCCTTATACCTTTCTCACAATTCAGTCCGAACACCTCTGAAAATTTGTGTATTGATGAGGATTATGATAACTGAAGGTATTGTATTTTTATGTGATGAATATTCCAACTGAAAGAGTAATAAATGAACATAATTTTATCTTCAACTTGGCCTTGTTTCAACATTATTCATTATTTTAAATCAATGTTTTACTTGAAAAAAAAGGCCATTGTTAAATGTCAATGTTTATTCCAAAGTACTTTCAATTTACTAAAATATTCTTTTATTTCAGAAATCTTTGAACAGTTTCCAGTCCATCACGGTTTTGTCATCAGTTCCAGTCATTCATGTACAGTTAGCTATATGATTTCAAATAAATATTTAGACAAGTAATTTTAAGAATACCAGAAAAGATTTCCTTCTTTGAGGAATTTTCTTTTTGTATGAGAGTTTTTGAAAATAATTTGCTTTTTATTTTTATCACGATTCTCCAAAAATTGATTGTTATTAAACTATATAAAAATGAATGGGTGTATATATGACTAGTATTGAATATTTTTGAGGATTTATATCTACAGTTAATGATGAAGAGTTAGTCAAATATCTTTTTTTTTTAATGAAAATCTAATTTGTCATCCTTCTTAACTTGTAATGAAAAAATTGAAAAATATATTTTGATAGCACTGAGAGTTTATAAATTTTGTTGAAACTTTTGAAGTATGTTTTTACTTTCTATAATTTGAAGAAGTAACTACATATAATTTTTTTTAAGGTTAACTTAGTTCGCGGTTTATCAAGAATTGCTTTTCTTGAATGATTTCAATATACGACTTGCAGTTCGTGGGACTTATTAAAAAAATTAACAAAGTTTTTGGTATTTTCCATTGAAAGTAGTAGTGATGAATCATTAACATTCCATTCATTGACATTGATACCGCCAGATATTCCGGAACATAATGACTGTTGAGAATGAACTGATATTTCAACAAGATTGGGCACCTACTTGTCTCTTAATTAGTTAAAAAATTCAACCAGCATCTCTAGATGACTTAAGTCACTAATTGTCTGAAGACTATAACACTAGTAATGATTCTAAATATCTGGAAGCACCTTTATTACTGTACGGAAGCAATAGAGTATCATTTTGACTACTTGCTGGAAAATAGTGAATTTTTGAATGTTATTTATTTTCATTATCATCATCAACATAAAAGCTTGCTTAGAGTGATCCTCTGTTTCCATAAAAGTGGCATTATCAAGAATTTTAGTGAAAAGTAACTTCCTTCAATACTTCATCACATCATTCTTCAAAATCCATTACATCAAATTTGAAAATGTAGCTTATATTAAAAGAGAAATTGATGCACTCAAAAATGAGGTATCAACTTGACCCCTAATTCCATTTAAGAATTAAGGGTTAGCTCACATCCTCAAAATAAAAGTTGATGGTCTGAGCGATTTTTTTCTAAATAGTAATAATAATACTTTTTTTATTGCCCAATAGGTTTCACCAATTTACTAATAGTTAATAACTTTAATAACAATATGACATAATTGAGTGCCTGAGACGGAGAAGGGGCTAAGCCACACAAGTTGTTTTAATGGTTATGGAATGTGCTGCTTCTTGTGGAAATGTGCAATATCCCCATATCCATTTTCAAAATGAATAATAATTTATTTTAGTGTATGTTATTCTAATGAAATCTTCATTTTCTCAAAAAGTTGATTTTGTGGTATAACCCCTTCGCTTACTGAGGCACTCAATTCACAAAAACTTAAAAGATGATTGACTTAAAGGAAGAAAATTGATAAAATAAATATTAACAGCAAATTCAAATGCATGATACCTCAATTGTTGCTGGGAAATAGTACGTCTCTACAAAATTTCTATGCATTAACATAGATTAAGACAGACAAAATCTTTTTATGCTGCAAACAGATTTTAATTTGTTGTTGTTGATTCTTGTCCCATCGATCAACATGTGCGCGTAGTTGGGTCAATCTCACTTCTCACGTTGAGAAATTTTGACACAACTATAGCATATATGGATAAAACACCAGGGCACACTCTAATATATTGTGACAAGTGTTTCTATATTTTTCTACTATATGGAATCCTCACATGCTTCACACATTATTAGTATCCTCAAATATTTGTCTTTTAAAGTTGATGGTATATACTTACAAGGGGGAACATATTACCAGTTGATGATGGACTCATTCAACTTTGAAAGCTTGGAGTTTAGAAGATGCTTAGGTGCTATTTAATGCCTCCATAAAGTGGTTCATAATTTTATTGACTGTCCTAATTTACTAAGCCAACTGAATTTCAAGGTACTGCAATTCGCAGGAAGAAACAATTTAACTTTCGATAATTCCTGACCAATATTCTCATGAAATCAGCACAATGTGTAATGCTTTCAACAAAATCAGCAACACTTGTGATTTATTCTTGGATAACCTTAAGCAAATCAATCATGTAATGCGAAATCTGTAATATTCTACTTGTTTTCTTACACTGTGCTCGTCATTTTCAATTTTGTAGCAGCATTGTTTTATTTTCTTTCAAATTTTGTTATTCTAATATTGATCTGCAAGGGAATTGTACAATCTGTTGGTCAATAAATGCTATTATTATCATAAACAATTTTTACGAGCCCTAACAAATACAAAGAACTTATTAAAATCCAAGAAATACTTTAGAACACTTCTTGCTAATGAAGTGAACTATATGCTTGATACGTTCTTTGACAATATTTTAGAGGTTTGAGGATCTTTGTTGGCTTTTTGACAAGGCGTTTTCCAATTTTTATGTACCTTTGCATGTTATACAAAGATTTTTATTTGTATTCAATGACAATATATGTCTCAATACAATTAAAACTTGATTATGGATAACGTATTCCAAAAACACTTTATTGTGAGATTTTCACTAAATTGTTTTACAAAAACGCAACATGTGTTTCGCCATACATTGTAATATTGTATGGCGAAACACGTGTTGCGTTTTTGTAAAACAATTTAGTGAAAATCTCACAATAAAGTGTTTTGTGAATACGTTAGTTATGGATTTTCATCAAGTATCGGCCGATTCCATCATATATTTGATTATGGATAATTTTCAAGTTGATTACTTCCTTTCTTTGGAAGATTCCCTCATCCCTTTTTTTCTATCAAGATGGAGTAGTAGAAAGCCAAAAACTTTCTTCCCCAAAAATTAATCACTCCTAAAAATATAACCCGTTCAATTCATTATGGATAACTTTTTTCAATTTATAAATATACAAATAATGAAAAGGATGATAAAATGTCATATTGTTGTTAGCAGAACACAGTCCAATTCTACATTTAAATATGTTTATTTGCGGTAACTATATTTATACATTAATTACAATAAAAATAGTCAGTTAATAAATATGGAAAATAAATTACTTACAGTACAGACAAAACTTATTAACTAAAAGTTATATGCAGGTCCTCATAAATTATTATTATGAACAATTTGCAACTAAGGGCAATACAAATTTTGTACTTTAGTTATTAGAATATTAATATTTTAATTAAAATAACTGTATTCATCAGCTAAATTCATTTCCTTCATACAAATTTTCACACGTTTCCAGCAATCTCATAATCGGGGTGACGTTGTAAGGGAAGAGGTCCTTGGAAACCAACCTACTTATTTGCATTTTCAACCGAATCAGCACTGTCATGGTATTGTCCAATTCATTGCCCCTCGGAGCACTTCCTTCGCCACAACTACTAATGAACTTGGCCCAGTTTCGTTTGGTATATTTCAGAAACCTCAACAAATAAAGCAAGAAACAAGTTTCATTGCTAACTAAATAATCTAAAAGAATATCTGAATCGTGACTGACAATATTTAGGAATTCTATAAACGAATGTATGGGATTTAACATGTTGATCAGATCAGGAAAGACGGCATTCCTATATGAAATACCAATCGTTATGTCCAAACTGCAAACCATCGCTTCGATCATATAATCGTCCTGGTCGCTGAACAAATGAATCAATATTTTAGAAAATGGGGTCTCCGGATGAAATTCCAAACTGTTTTTAACGAAAACATCAAGTTTTTTCAATACATCCCTGATGGAACGCTCTATGACTTGCATATCTTGATAAAAGTCGGAATCATCGGAACCTACGCTAGAATCAGAACTATCCGATCTGGTTTCCTTTATAGTAATGGCAACAGACTTGAGCACCAGCAAAGCCATTTTTTGCAATAACGTTTTGTCGATGTTTGTTTGTGCTGGTTGCGAACTAGCAATAGTCCCCACAAAACTATTCACAGTCAATCCCTCATTTCTTTTGAAGGGTAAGCTATCTAAGAGTCGGTAATCTTTAACATATCTTACTATCAAGTGAGCCAATTGACAGGTATCATCCGGCAACATATCCTGCAGAGCCAAAGTGCTGCCGTAGCACAGGACTTCATTGAAAAGAGACAGCAGTTGTTTCCATACTACCGGTGGAAGCTGACTGTTCAACATGCTGACAAATATTTCTAGATGAGCATAAAACGGTTTGGTATCAATAACACTCAAGTTTGCTTTAACAGATATTGTACTTTCCCACAATGCCAAAAAGGTGAGAATGCACGTCTGACTTTGAACAGAACTATTGTGCAAGATCAAATTCTGAACTCTGTAGATGAGTTCAGGCCATTTAGATTCCAAACTCTTTATAATTAGGCCTTTAATTGCAGAAGTGTCGTAGCTCTCTGGGTCACTGAATGGAACTGTAGAACAACTTGAATTTACCTCTTCCGTCGTCGAATTCTGCAAAGTGTCCTGAGGTTCCACCTCTTCCAATACGTGCAGCTCTACATCTTTCCATTCCACAACTCGTTTGATCACTTCTAGAGCAAACTGCATTTTCACATAATCAATATTTTCAGTAGTAAAAAAGTTCACGATTGTTTCCAGCCATTCGTTATTTATGTTGGTTTTTGCTATAATCAGAAAGCTACTGAATACTCGAGCTGCCAAATAATTGACGTATTTATTCCTTGTCTCACACAGAGAAATAATTTGTTCAATCAAATTGTATTCGTTTCCTATGATAGTTTCACAAATTGTTACAATTCTAGAGCATATAAAGCCTTTATTATTCTGCTTCAGGTAAACATCGAATAACAACTGCAGATTCGATAAGAACTGCAGCACCTTTTTACTCGGCCATTCTGATAACATTGCTGAGCCAACTGCAGAACTATCAATAACTTGTTGTCCTTCGAAAGGCTTCCTCAATACTACTTCTGGTACATTGCAAAGGCACTGTTTGACGAGTTGATTCTGAAAATCATCCAGACCAAAAATTTGCAGTTCGTGATCCGAATGAGCATATGTAGAATTATATCTTTCATGATTCGTAGCCCTTATACTTGACGAACTGGTCCTGACCAAAGTCTCTGACGAACTGGAAAATGAGTTTGAGAGGGACAAGTACTTTGAATTGGAAACAGTGGATGTTGATGTTACTATACTAGGTGCGGGTTCAATTAAAATGTTTTCACTAACACTCTCATTTGATTTACTCAAACTACTACACGAGATATTATCATGTTCTTCATTCGATCCAAGAATAACCTCTTCCCCCTCATCAGTAGCACTTTCACTAGTTCGAAACACCACTTTTTCCCTATTAAGTTGCAAATTTAATGCATTCCTCGAGATATCATCTTCATTGAAACTCGCATGTAAGGAGAGATGCAGTGCTTGAAGATTTGTTGGTACACTATTTTCTGCTAAATTGTTAATAAAGTCTGTTTCATCTGAGTTATCACTTTCATCTTCTCGTCTCAGCTTCTTCTTCAACGGTTGTTCGGAAGACATTGTAATATATCTCTGTCTGAGAACCATTAGAAAGGCCAAATAGTCGCCCTGGCGAATATTTTCAACTCTATATTTTCCTCAACTTCAATCTGAAACAAAACACACTTTGTCAAACATCAAGTGAGTTTCCTTAATATGACTTTCAAATGATAAAATCGTGAATTTTTAAGAAATAAAACAGTTTACTCTGTAGGTACTCACATTCATGACTGTGTAACAAAATTCAGTAGCAATTTTCAGTAATTCGGTAGTAAATAATTTCAACTATATTTTTACAGATGATCTGTTCGAACCCTGCAGACATTTACGAAAATCATACTCTGATTTCACCATTCCAATTATTTTCACAACTATTTAATTACAAAAATATAACTTAATATCAACAAAACTCCATTACGGTATTCAACAATGCAACAATTTGACGTGATGGGCAAGCTAAATCTGAATACTGTCATTCTTGTCATTTAACTTCGTGCTTCGTGGGCAGAGCTGCCATGTTACCTTCAACATGCTTTAAAAGAAACTAGAAAACTGGAAATATTAATGAAAACGGTAAACGGTAACCCTGGTGAATCATTTCATATTATTTAATGGTAAGTAGCATTGAATGAGACATATAAAGAAAAAAACTAATCTGAGTTGAACTATTCAATATTGAAATTGTTTAACTTGAGAAAAGCTTAGGTTATTACTTGAATTGAATTGAATGTATATTAATATGATAATGTAAGAAAAAGTTAGAGAAGAAAGTAACACAAATCATGAAATTATGAAACAACAACAAAAATTTATTGGCGCTCCAGGGCGACTCCATTGATTCAAGTGACGCATTCGCGTTTTCAGCTGTAGGAAAACCCGGAAAAACCTGCAACACCACATCATCTCTGAAGATCTTGATCTGCCAATGTCCTCTCTTTCATAAAACGAAATGTAGGGTATCTCCATAGGATCTAATAAATTCAAGACAAAAAAAAATTTCACTGGTTATTTTGTGTATGTACATATATTACAGCTACCATAAGCCAATTATTAGTTTTGTATGATTAAATAATGAAACTAGTAATGTACACACACAAAATTAGTAACATCATTTTTAAGCCACGTTTCACATCATAAAAGAATATTACGTGCTTGCTGGTTGGATTAGGTTAGGGGTATGGTTAGGGGTTGGGCTAGGGGTTCGACTAGGGGTTGGGTTAAGGGTTGAGCTAGGGGTTCGACTAGGGGAAAGCAGAAATCATTGTGAATGATGTACACAAAATGGATTTCGTGAGTGTTTTTTCCAAATATGGTAAATCGGTGACGGGAGCCAGGTTACAGCTGTGACGCGAGCTGAATTCCAACTGTGATGAGAGCAAAGTTTCAACTGTGACGTGAAGCCGGTTCCAACTGTGATGGGAGCCAAGTTCCAACTGCCACAGGAGTTGAGTTTCAACTGATGAGAGAGTTGAGTATCAACTGTGAAGGGAGCTAAGTTTCAACTGTGGTGGGTGCTGAGTTTCAACTGTGAACGGAGCTGAGTTTCAACTGTGAGTCGGGTGCTGACGGGTCCTAAATGATATGCTATTCACTGGCTCGTATCATCGTTTATTCCTGAAAGAGATGGATATTGAATCATTAATAAATTGGTGGATGTAGCCGTTACTACGTGGTAGGAAATCATAATGAAGAAAAGAGAAATGAAACTCTTTATGTTTTTACCGCTTTTATTTGTAACTAACGTCACTGCAGTTTCATCCTTTACGGTGTTACGGTTTCATTTTGTCATTTGTTCTGTTTTGAAGTCGACGACTATTTAAACCTGAAATGAATACATCCTTGAAAGTTTTGGGATATTTTAATACCTCGTCATTCGTTTAGTTCTCATTCACTGACAAACAACTATACAAGGATATATTCGAACGGATTAATTATATTCGAACACATATTCGAATCCTTTAAGGATTCTGTGCTCTGACGGAACACGGAACGGTGAATTGACGACTTTGGTTCCAAATTCAGTACAGTTTACTACGCATTTCAGGTAGTTTGGAAGATGATTATACATCTGAGACCATTATACAAAATAGAATTTTTAATTAAAGTAGTGTTAGGTATGGGAAGACTTAAATGTAGGGTCTGGCGGGTGGTGTAATGAGAGATAATAAAAGGAAGTTCTGTTCTATGTTTATGCACAAAACGAACTGTTTCTAAAATGAATAGTGCATACAGTGATACAATTGTGTTTGATACAAATAAAGGCCTACACGAATCTCGCCGCCTGGCACCACAGAGATATCTTAATGACCTTTTCTGTAGAAGAAAAATCGACTCGAGTCGAGTTTGATCACTTACCCCCCAGAAAGGATCCCATATCTTAGATGTGATTCTACTAATGAATAATAGACAGTTTTAGCTGCAGTTAGTTCTAGTTAGTTAGAAGTTATTTTCACAGCATAACATCCAGATGAAAATTATTTATTAAGAGATAGTATGTGGTCCTCAAATTTCAATTTATTATCAATTAATAACCCAAGAAATTTGTTGCATGACGTGTTCTCAATCACATTCGAATTCGAAGCTAGACGAATATTATCAAGAATGCAATTATAGGATAAAACTTTAGTTTTTGAGACATTGAAAGCTAATAAATTTGCCCTACACCAATCTGAAAGTTTGGAAATATCAGAGCAAATGGCATTATATAGATCATTTGTGTTGGTATTGCGCCATAATATTGTAGTGTCGTCGGTGAATAAAGTAAATTCACCCTCTATTTCAATGGTAGTCAAGTCATTGATATAGAGTAGAAATAAGGTAGGTCCCAGCACTGCTCCTTGTGGTATTCCATTAGATATGATATATAAAGATATAAAAAGGTGTAAAAAAGTACTTACTATAATAGCAATTTTTGTAGATGTTTTTTTTATTTTTTTTAATAGTAATGATATGGTGAATGAGATTAAGACTGAATTCATGCATAGATTTAAAATTAAAGATTTGGGGCAGTTGAAACATTGTTTGGGTATTAGAGTAAAAATGTATGAAAATGGCAGTATTTCCTTGGATTAAACACAATATGTGGAACATATTTTGAATATTACAATATTTAAATTGTAATGCAGTCAACAGCCCTATTGAAAGCAATTTAAAGCTAGAGAAAAATATAGAACTATGTAAACAATATCCTTATCAACAATTGATAGGAAGCCTAATTTACCTGAGCGTCTTAACTCGCCCAGACATTTTTTATAGTGTAAGTTTTATGAGTCAGTTCAACAATTGTTACTCGCTTACTCACTGGAAGCGTGCAAAACGAATTTCAAGATATTTATGTAAAACTAAATCTTATGGGCTAATGTTTACTGTAGATAATGGTAACTTAGAAGGTTTTGTCGATGAAGACTGGGCATCAAATATTTAGGATAGGAGATCTTACACAGGTTTTCTTTTCAAGTTCTCAGGATCTGTCATCTCATATGAATGTAAGAAACAACAAACTATAGCTTTGTCCAGTACAGAAGCCGAATATATGGAGATAACTGAGATAACTGAGGCTTATAAAGAAGCTATATATTAAAAAAAAACTTATTGAATGAGATTGCCAATTGTTGTAATTATACAATAACTTTATACAATGATAATCAGAGGGCTCAGAAGTTGACAGAAAACCCATTGTTTCACAAGCGAACAAAGCATATAGATGTGCGCCACCATTTTGTTAGAGAAGCAGTTGCTAACAAACGTATAAAAGTAGTTTATCTGCCAACTTCTGAAATGCCTGCCGACATTCTTAGGAAAGGGTTAAGTAGCGTAAAACATAACTATTTTTTACGATTTCATTTTGTCATTTGTTCTGTTTTGAGGTCGACGACTATTTAAACCTGAAATGAATACTTCCATGAAGGTTTTGGGATATTTTAATACCTCGTCATTCCTTTAGTTCTTATTCACTGATAAACAACTATACAAGGATATATTCGAACGCATTAATTATATTCGAACACATATTCGAATCTCTTAAGGATTATGTGCTCTGAGGGAACGATAAATTGACGACTTTGGTTCTATGAATGTCTTACCGCCGGGGACTCAAAATTGTTTGTGGTACTTTTGGTAGCCATTTGCTAATTTTCGAGTTTATGTCTAAACTTCTCGATTTTTCGGATTAGTAAAGTAAGATCATCTTTTATAAGAATAGGAAATTTTTATTCTTGGCATTTGGATGCTGGTAAAACATTCAACTCACTTGTTGGATTCAATTTCTTATGGTGAACAGAATCTTATACTGATTTGAATCTTGGCTTCTTGGGACAAAAGTAAACCTATAGGTCACACGACATTACAGGCGAGTTGATATTTATCAACGAGACAACTCATATATTCAGAGAATGAGCTTGATCATTCTGTCCAGACTCCAGACGTATCGTCCCGGACATCACTTCCAGTGAACCGTTTCCATCTAATATGAATTGTTTCATTTTAGGCTTTCTTTCATCTGAATACCGCTTCCTCGTGTTAGTATTGCTATAAGACTAGACATCCTTGCATGAATGCCTAATACAGTAGTAGCAGTAGTTAGTAGTTAACCGCTGTTGTACCGATCACAATTGTTGTACGGACAGAGCACTGCAGACCTAAGTTTGTAACTCTAAAACCATTCTTGTTCTGCAAGCCACCTTGAGGGAGACACACACATATAAGCTTAGTTATTAAGATAGGGACAAATAACTTATCAGAGACTAGATTTTTGATGCTTGATCTATTATCTCAACAAAGATTTATGTTCTTCAAACCTGCCCAAAAGGGGAAGAATATTAGTGTAGGATATATGCTTTTATGCCTATGTAGATGAATTCTTCCCTCAACCTACTGTAAGCTGGCAATATAGCTATATCTAAGGTAAAGTATAACTTCAAAACAGCAACGTCTCAAGTATTGAAGAGACATCCTCTTTTCTTCCTTGGGGAGCCTGTGTTCATTACGGTCCCCTTGGAGTTGAAACATTTGTGCTATAGTTGTACTATAATTTATATCATATGAACATTTTGGTATTGTTTACAATAAGAAAAGTGAAATCTTCTCACATTTGACACTTTCTGGCCTCAGGAGCTCAAGGCTTCCTGCCAGTATTGTAGGGGGAGTCCTATAATAACGGTTGATACAATTTATGAACTGACAGATAAATCAAGGGATTTGTTAACAAGTTTGGAACCAACTGAGAAAGGTGTAGATGTTAGGGAAAGGAATTATAGATATTTAACTGGATTTGAGTTTGATTCCATTGGTTACCGTTTAGAATAAATTTCCCGTTTTTGTTTTGTATGCTATATAAGCTCCAGGGTTGATAAAGCGGGTGGCGCTCTACCCTCCATCTTACCCACGCCCTTCTTCACTGTTTAAAAGCTGGCGGCCTACCCTGGGAGCTATGCTCTTTCTCTAATCCCTAGTAGCCACCCTCACGCCAAGTTGTGGAACAACTAGAAATCGTCTACAAATTGACTTAATTAGTCAATGAGAAATACAAGGCGTGACATATTTTGTTAAAAAGCTAGGTATTCATACTATTGTTTGATATATTCAAAAATATGATTGTTTATTATGCTATTCTCTTTTTGGTATTGTTTGATGGCTGTATATGTTTTCATGTATTTTTTTTGAAGTTTAGATTATTTTGATAAGTGGAGGTGTTAAAGTTATTATCGAAATAATAATTTTAAGTTACTACAAACGGCATCTATTAGGATTTAACACACTTTGCCAAATGTAAAAAGGAATGTATGAAATAAAAAAAGTTTAGTTTTTTGAACAACCTCCATGTGTGTTTTATTAGCAAGGCATGTTATCAGGAACCCCAGTGATGAAAATTAAGTAAACCTTCACTATGGAAAATGTATTTTTATGTGTACTTTGCATATACCAAAATTGAAAAAGAAACCAAATCGATATCGAAGATATCACAACACAACAAAAAAAATTTATAAATGATTCAATATACATCTCTTTCAGGAATAAACGATGATACGAGCCAGTGAATAGCATATCATTTAGGACCCGTCAGCACCCGTCACAGTTGAAACTCAGCTCCGTTCACAGTTGAAACTCAGCACCCACCACAGTCGAAACTTAGCTCCCTTCACAGTTGATACTCAGCTCTCTCATCAGTTGAAACTCAACTCCTGTGGATGTTGGAACTTGGCTCCCATCACAGTTGGAATCGGCTTCACGTTACAGTTGAAACTTTGCTCTCATCACAGTTGGAATTCAGCTCGCGTCACAACTGTTACCTGGCTCCCGCCACCGATTTACCATATTTGGAAAAAACACTCACGAAATCCATTTTGTGTACATCATTCACAATGATTTCTGCTTTCCTTTTCATTTTTGGTCCAAATTCTGAGTTCGGTCAGAATTTCTTCATAAAAACTGAGACTTTATTCTTATTCAAGTGAAGATTGATGAGTAAAAAGACGATAACGATCATTATCATTATTTTGATGGAATAGCATTACTGCTAATATTGAATATTCATTAAAAAAAAAGGTGCTGCAATGAGAGCTTCATTATCTCGCACTGGGGGTGGACTTGATGATGTGAAACCACCAAGTGAACTAGAACTGAAAATATTGGATTTATTAGGGGAAAACTTCGTGGGATTAAATAATCCAGAATGTGGTGGTGTACCTGTATCCCTTGAACCAGAGTCCTGCGAAAATAGTCTTGATGAACCATCAACATCGAAGACACCTTCAACATCAAAGACTATGCCCCAGAGAGATGATGTGGAACCACCACATAAGAGACACAAAATGGACTACCACAATGAATGAAGAGACATCCTCCTTTTTTCCTTGGGGAGCCTGGGTTCATTAAAGTCCCCTTAGAATTGAAACATTTGTGCTATAGGTGTAATATAATTTATATCTTATGAACATTTTGGTATTGTTTACAATTAGAATAGTGAAATCTTCTCACATTTGAAACTTTGAGGCCTCAGGAGCTTAAGGCTCCCTGCCAGTATTATAGGGGGAGTCCTATAATAACGGTTGAATAAAATTTATAAACTGACAGATAAATCAAGGGATTTGTTAACAAATTTGGAATCAACTGAGAAAAAAATGAAGTGAACATGGATTACTTCAACACTCCCACTCTTTGTTCACTTCGAAGACGTTACCCACAGACCTTATATTCAACTAAGAAAGGTGTAGATGTTAGGGAAAGGAATTATGAATATTTTAACTGGATTCGATATATTCAACTAAGAAAGGTGTAGATGTTAGGGAAAGGAATTATGAATATTTTAACTGGACAACCGCTAAAAACATGAGACGTCCTATAGCTTCTCTGTACGGAATATTTTTCATATATTCTTTTTCTTTCTCATTTTGGGGTCTTTGAGCTACATTCAGAATAACATTCATTGCGGAAGTCCATTTTGTGTCTCTTATGTGGTGGTTCCACATCATCTCTCTGGGGCATAGTCTTTGATGAGATCAACCCAACACTAGTCGTATCACTACTAGATGGCGCCACTTCATTCGCAAACAAATTGCTAACTTTCATATTATACCAATAGATGGCGACACTATAATAATACTTTAGTCTTTCACTACTACATGACGCCACAGTCAACTTTGGAAATACTGATTGTTTTTCTAATGTATATTCACTTTTTTGCCTCTTTTAATCCACCCAGGTGGGTGAAATAATGTCGTATTCAAATAATAACCCAACCCAAACCACCCCACCCTCGTCTACCCCAATCCAACCGCCGACTGAAAAATTTTGAACAACTGAATATCCTGACAATCACTTTTTTGACTAATTACTAACTACAAATTGAAAAAATTGCGCTGGGATTTTAACTCGTCAAACTCGTGATCATCATGTCGAACCACTCACTGAGCTATTTACTATTAATGTTTGGTGTGATCTATTTTTCTACCATTGTTCTTTGAACGGACCCCGTTACATTAATTTCTCAACAAGAGTGTTGGAAGAGTTTTTCGATGATCTTGGTCCGGAGGCTCGTCAGATGATCTATTTTCAGCAGGATAGAGCATCAGCACATTATTTCAGTAGCGTAAAATGAATGTTGCGAGAGTGTTTTGGAAACAAATGGGTTTCTACAAATGGTCCTGTTGAATGGCTTGCTCGTTTAGCAGACATTACACCTCTAGATTTTTATTTCTGGGGATTTCTGAAAAATGAGGTGTACAAAATAAAACATAATAATGTAGATGAATTTAAAAATCATATTGAAACTATACTTGACAGAATTGATGGCCGAATTGTGTTGAAAGTAACACGTAGTGCCAAGAGAAGGGCCCAAATTTGACTTCTACAAGAATGCAGTGATTTTGAATATCTACTCGATATTTTATAGCTCTTTATTCGACAAAATAAATTTTTTGTGCTAGTAGTGAAAGAAAGAAATATTTCCACATAGGTAGCTCATTTTCAACTTTAGGAAGAAAGATGATATGAGCATTATTGTTGAGAATGTTTTAATGAATCGAAATGCATGATAAAATATAGGATGAATTTCACCCAATCACCTTCAAAAAAAAATATAGCGTGTTCCATTTAAAAAAAATCCATTTAATGAAATATTTTGAAAAGGCGACTGTCAATTTTTTTTGTTTTCGGTATCGAGAAGGCCACTAAAAATGCTTGTAGTTTGCCCATTTAACCGAATTCGTAACATTAATAATAACGGAGTTGGCAATGGCTCCGACTTAATTTGGAACACCCTGTTATATTGGCAACAGGAACATGAATTCGTTGATTTGGCCAAGGGGTAATTTCATATCACTCCTTCTACATCGTAATCCTTGAAGCAAGAAGATCTTTTTACTTTCATAAACCCCCCTTTCAATCAGATCGACTGTATTCACAGATTAGGTTAGGTTCCCATTTGATTTGACTAAAATGTATAGAAACAATTTACTTTATATATACTAATATAACAGAAATTATTGCATAAAATAGTTATGTACATCAGATGTGCCAAAAGAAACTCCTAAAATTTTGTCAAGTACCGGAAGTATCTACAGTATATTATCAAAATGATAGAATATAATTTTACAGATTGGATGGCGTCTTTGTTGGGTAACAGTATTTTCTTAAAAATTGCTTCCTATGGAAATACTTTTCAATTCTTGAAAACAATAGATTTCTTCAAATCCAACGAGCTTCAAGCTCTCATCCCACAATTTTTTTGCGATTTCTTCATTTCTCGCTAGTGTGGACGGCTGCGCTACTTTGCAATCTGAGTAATACAAACCGGACTCAGACGCGCAATTTTCATCGACCGCACAATAGATTTGAGTCTGAGCTCCCTGCTCTGGATTCTTCAAGAGAAACTTTCCTACGATACTCCACAGCCATCGGAGTCGCAGGTGTCTGCCTAATTCAGTTTTGATGATTCCCGGATGAAGGCTGTACACTGTCACATTTTCAATGTTATTTTCTACAAAAGAAAAACATGAATAATTACCAAATTCAATTTCTTTACTATTCATAAAATAAAATAAAACATCATTTTTAATTTAAACGGTTTTATTGAAAAAAATAATGATGTAAATAATGTACTAAAAACCAAAAAATTATTCGGAAAGTCCTAGGTAGCAGTCATCACACCACTCTCCTTAGCAATCTATGGTATTGATTAGATGAAAAAATGAAAAATCGTTGGGAATAATTTTCTCATTTGTACACAGGTTACGCAAAGTCTTCCGCCGCGTCTGCTTGTGGCAAACTCCCCTTTGAGATATGACAAAACAATTCATTATAATTTTTTTAATAGTTCCATAGAGAAGTTTGCGATGGCATATGCCTATTTTTTTTATTTTTTTATTTTTTTGATAAAATTGTTACTTATTGTGATAATTGGAAAGTTATTCAAACCTACATGATATTTTTTGTTGGAGACATCGATTTCTAGGATGTTATACATTCAAATCCTTATCAAATTGAATACTTAATGCATACTACAATTACACTTTACACCTTACAATTCAAATTAATATCTTAGGAGTTTCTGCACAATTAAAACTATCTCACGACCAAATAAGTTCAAGCAGCGTCACGCACTAATGTGACACGTTTGTTGAAAAGTTGAAAATGCATTGGTAATGACATGGAAATCAATTGGCATGAAACAAGACTTTTTTGAAAATATATATCCGCATTAATGAATAAAAACATTAAAAAATGTTTTTTGGGCAATTATGAACAGATTATTTGATAGTCGATGATGCTCTTCATATAAAGAATTTGATTATTATAAAACCGTATTTCCCAAACTACGATATGTACCCCTGTGATTATTTGTGAATATTTTCACATTTTTGAGGTGCTAGGGATCACACATTAACCTTAAGCATGCACAAGTTTCCACTTGTGAGGGTTAACGATCGCAGGGGGCGACAGCTAGTTAACGGAAAAATTAATTTTATCAGATGTGACAATTCGAAACCATTTTGATTCGGATTTCTACATTCGGAAAATTAAAAATTCATATTTACCAAAAATTTATATGTACCTACCCCCGACTTTTTTCCACAAAATTCTAGAAAGGGGTGATGCAATTACCTATTCAATAATATTTAATGAAGTTACTTTAGAGAGTCGAAAATATATAAACTTTTCATCGCATGAGGCTAAATTTCAATAGCGCTATTTGAATTTTGTAGAGAAATACACATTTAATATGATTGCCTTGAAGAAAGTATGTCTGAAATGAAGCATGGTAAAAACTAGGAAGTTCAATGAACGTTGCGTTGAGTCTTGAATAGTATAAGTGGTGGAATTCATGAAAATTTGTCAAAAACTTTAAATCATACTATGTAGCTGAAATTACGAAGATGAGGTAAATATTGTATTTCAAAAAACATTTTTTTATATCTCGAGAAATAATTCCACTTTTGGAATTTTTTGTAAAATAATTAAAATTTGACAAATAATACGAATCACGTGATTTCGATATATTTTGGATATTTTTCATCTCAATCGAAGCAAAACTGATGCAAGAGTCAAATTTCGAATAACACCATTAATCACCAAACAGTGATCGTCTTCAAGAGGAAGATTAAACTTCTTGAAGATGATCACTTAGTGATCGAAACACATGTCGGGGTGTTAAAGTAACGGTTTGGTGTTGGGAAAAAACTCCAGTAATTTTCATTACTACACCAAAGATTCCAAACAGTACATCACAAAAATGCCATTAGTGAAAATAATTTCCATATGATGCTGATCGCACCGTATGTTTATCGAAACATCACATAAGAATTATTAATCTCAAAAGAAAATTGATAGGGGAAATTAATATTTCAGTTTAAAAGACACCAACAGTAATTCATTCTCTTACCTTTCAGCTTTCTGGCTAATTCCTTGGTGAACAATACATTGGCTAATTTGCTTTGTTGATAGGCTCCTATTGCACTGTACGGTCTAGAATTCCAGTTCAAGTCTGATAAATCTATAGAAGATGGCACTGAAATGGAATTAATTTTATTGTTCGTCTGATATTTAGTAGGATTGTAGGATTTCGTGAGAAAACTAGGGGAGTCTTTCAGTTTCCAATCTGTCACAATAAATCTAGAGAGATGAAATTATTAAATCCATTCAAATAAATAGTCTATATTGAAGTGGATACTGTATGTAACATAAAATCTTATCATTTTTATGTGCAAGCAATAGGGCTTTGTCTTGTCAATATACTTTCGGTGAGAAATCATTTTCTATTTGAAATTTGCGTATGCCAGCGTTTTTATGATAGGTATTCATTTTCTTTTTTCAGGGTTTATTTCTTGCACATCAGCAGTGTCTTTGCGAAAGCTCACTCTTTATCTTTGACTTTTTTCCTTGTTGGTTCATTGGTCGCAACAGCCAATAAATCTTAAGCGGTTATATTCGACTCTAGCTGACTGCTGTGCTTTAATTTTACTAAAATCAATATCTATGAGATGAACACCTTGCAAATAAGTCTGCCCACATAAGCTTACCCACAAGAGAACGTCGATGACCCGATTTCACTGGAAGCGATATTCATATTCAACCTTGAGTTTTATTTTTGTATTATTAGTACTATATCACAGAACACCCTATCTATAGATAGGGTGTTCTGTGACTATATTGCTGTATCGCTGCTGTTCCAATCAGAATCAGAATCAACGAACTTAGGCGTGTGCAGAGTTACAGAACACTGCTTTCAAAAAATTGTTCTACAGCGCCATCTAGTGGCGAGTTACAAATGGATAGCCTTAAAACCTCTATAAAAAATTACTTATACATGTCAAGTTCCATCACGATCGGTTGTGCGATTTAGAAGTTTATCACTTACCAACCAACCAATAAACATCCATTTTTATATATATATGATGATGGCACACGCGATCGAAAGTTATTTGGAGTTTTCCATTCCTTCAAATATGAATAAATGTTCCGTTGTGCATGTGTTGAAACTGATTGCAATTCAAGGGACCTTCAATACATTTTTATTTTATATAATAAGGGGTGACTTTGGATAATGTGCTGAAATGTGTATTTTTTCATTTGTAAATTGTATGTATCTATCTTGAAAGCCGACGAAAATTCAAATAACTTTCACCGTCCTCTGTTTTAAGAAATGGTGTTGATACATATTTCTTGATCCTAGCTTAAAAAAATATCAGATTTCTTCGATTTCAGGGCATACCCTGAATATTATTATGATTAACAATGTACAAAGCCGTAAATCTTGCTGTACTGTTTTCGATTGGGCCATCTTGTATACGTGATAGAGTCGAAGGGCCGCCGATCAAAAATCAAACTCACCACAATGTGCCACTGATGAAACATTCACAATCCTAGCTGGAACGCTCTGACAAATTTTCGGCAGCAGTAATAGCGTTAACAGGAAATGCCCCAGGTGATTCGTGCCAAACTGCATCTCGAAACCGTCCTCTGTCCTGCTCTCGGGGCACATCATTACGCCTGCATTGTTAATCAGCAGGTCGATTTTATTCTCTGAATCTATTACCTTGGCAGCGAACGCCCTGACAGATTTCAGGCTGGACAAGTCCAAATGCATCAACTTCAAGTATCCTACATTTTCCCTCCCTCCGCAGGATTCCTGGATGTCGGTAAGAGCTTGCTGGCCTTTTCCTTCGTTTCTACACGCTAGGATTACACGTGCACCTGCAAGGTTATTCAATAGAAGTGACATCAAATTTTTGTTTTTTGTTTTTGGAAGATTTTATTTATTTTGCCTTGTATTTTTGGAGGAAAATAAAAACAATACAGAAAATGAATTTTACCTGACACGTGAATGCACATAAGTTGTCTATTCATATAATTTCTGTAGCAATTTTGTGTAATGTTATTACATGCATCTTTAATTTTTTGTTTGAGATAGTCGATGTGTATGCTAGTTGCCGAACAAACTTCTTCCTTTATGTATCCCTAGACAAAACATTTAAAGAAGTAAGGTCTGGGAATCAAGTTGGCCAGACAATTGTTAGGAATATTGGATCTAAATCTATTATTGCTATATTATGGGGGGGGGGGACCGTCTTGTTATTATATTATACTTCACGGCGGAAGTTCAGTAGCAATCATCTTAGTAGCCATCAAACTCATTGGACAAAAATGCAGATACATTTCACTGTTCAAATGAAAGGACCTGGTATGCATTTTACCAAAATTTTCAACCTAACATTTATTCCTATACTTTTCTGGAAATTGGTGTTTCTATATAAATGTTCATTTGTATTATTCCAACTATAATGGATGTTTCTGTTAAATTAACCATTGTTGGTAAATTTCAATTCGTTCCACCGCTCGACTGGCGAAATCCTTTGTTGTTTATAAATAAATTTTATGTCGGACAGATATTACAGAAGTTTGTTTTTAAAATTGTATTCAAAATTTTTTGGCAATATTGGCACATAGATATAAGGCCTATAATTATCTGCTTGTTTTTTGTCTTTCCATTTTTGAAAAAGATATGTGAGTTTTGCACACGATGGAAGGAACTCTCATGTATTTGCCTATCTTGGAGTTATAAGAAAATCGTTTAACAAACTATAAATATTATCAACAGAAGTTTCAGCCAAAATTTATATTGACATAACTGTTCAATAGTCAATGACTAATCAACTGAATGGTATTTCCATAGTTTTTTTCCAGTTATATTTGTCGGGATTCATTGAAATGACATAACTTTTTCATTTATGAATCGATTTCAATAAATCGAACAATAAATCAACACATCACAGGTGGCAATCAGTTACCTCTTTTAAATGTATAGATTTCACACAGTATATTGGCGCTAATTTATTTTTGCACTCCTTCCCTGATCGAATCTCTTAGGCTGTTATATGCCCATGGCTGACCTCTACCATTCATCTCCAAGGTGACCATCTCAAGAGCATAGCTGAATCAAAATCCGACACCTACGCAGTTCCAGAAAGATCCCAGAGGCGCCGTTTACTGTTCTTTGTTCACCTAGACGCTTACTTCATGATATTTTTTCATATAAAAACGTCCTGCGTGGCGTAATAAAGTTAGTTGTATTCTAGTTGTCATACTGTTACTACTCAACTCTGGGGATACAGATCTGTTTCCCCTATTCAATAAATATTAATTTTAAAAAAGTTATTGTTTATACAATATCTCAATTCCTACTTAGTAAAATGTATTAATTTATTATTCAGATGTATGGATTTCAAACCATGTCAATTGAATTCGTATAAAAACAAATGCGGTCAAACAAGTGAACTCGAGACTTGGAGATTTGAGGTTTCTTTTTTGTATGGTAGAGAAAGTATAAAACAGTGGCGGCGCTTTGAAGTAATGATTTTCGAAATGACATTATAGGCCTTTTCATCTCAAATTTTTTTGTGGGCATGCGTCAGTATCAGCCATCTTTTTCGTACTATTTTTTGTAAACAACCATGTTAAATAGCCCGCAAGTCATGTTTTAAAAATTAAAATATAATTGAAGTTTATTAATTGTAAAAAAAGTGAGAAAGTAGTGAGTCAAAATATTTTATACTCCATTATAATTATGTTATCTGTACGAAAAGGAACAACAAAACGGTGTTGTTATGGAGTATGTAAAAGTGATACACGATACAAATCATTCAAAACCAACACGTACTATTTTATAAATTTTCCAAAGCCTTGTTTGGAATATCGCAATGACTGAAATACGGAGAAACTTATGGATTGACAGAGACCTTTAAAAATGCCAATATTATTAAAAAAGGGTTTCAGATCTCTTAAATTGTAAAAGATATATCATAACATGTTCGATTGATGACCTACTTATTCTGCAGAAATTCATTTTGAATATAGAATAAATAAAATAACTTTCAATTTCTACATAGTTTATTTTTCCTTTAATTTAACGGGTAACGTAACATGTCTTCGAAGGTTATGGTCAAATGGTTTATTTGTGTTGTCTATAGATAGGTCAATATTTAAATTTATATTTGTGAACACACTTTTTTGTGATAAGAATTTATCTAGGTTATTATTAGTAAATAGCGGGGTACCTAGCTTCGCTCAGGGAGTTGACATGACCGTGTGATAGTCTGAATGAAAACATAAACTTTAATTTCACACAAACCTCTTTCAAAAAAGTCCTTCGCCGTACATTTTCCAATTCCGGTGTTTGCTCCAGTGATGACAGCAGTCTTTCCATCCAAACGAGCCACTGAATTGCATCTTGCACTGAAAAATCTCATCATCAAATGATGAATGAGAACACTGTCCTGGACAGACTTTTATTTCGTGCACAATAGTTTACTTTTTCATTGAACTAACAAACACACTGGAAAAGACGTCTGAATAATTTGTGAAACAGAATTTCATTCTCCGTACGAAGTTTTAAGTCAGTGGCGGAACACGCACAATAACTACAAAATATAAAACAAAGTCGCCTACCGTTGTCTGTCCCTATGTATACTTAGTTTAAAACTACGCAACACATTTTGATGCGGATTGTTTTAATAGATAGAGTGATTCAAGAGGAAGGTTTATATGTGAATAACATGCATAATATACTTGTGATGCACTGTTTGGAACTTTTGGTGTAGTAATGAATATTACCTCCGTTATTTTAACACCTCTTGAACATGATCACTTGGTGATCAAAACACGCGTCGTGGTGTTAGGATAAAACATCAGTAATATTCATGCATAATATAGTAGAGAAACACTGAAAATTTCAGACGTTTCTAATGTGATGTCGTAAATAAACACATTTTTTTGCGCTTACATTGCAAACGCCGGCTCAGCCCTACTAGATAAAAAAATTAATATTACTAGAGTTTTATCCCAACACCAAACCGTTATTTTAACAACTCGTCACGTGTTTTGATCATCAAGTGATCATCTTCAAGAGGAAGATTTAAACAACGAGATAGGTCAAAATACACCTTAAGAAGGTTTACAAAAAAGTCCGCGATAGTATATATCAAAGGTAAACGAGGCTCTTCAAGACGGTCAGTTGCAAAGCCAAGCTTCGACATCGATTGCCGACATGATTCGTCCTTTGTCTCATCAAAGACATTGTCATTGATAAGTATTCCTTAGACAATGACGTTGTCTAAGGACAATGTCAGACAAAGCCCATAAAAGCTACGAAGTGGCATTTTTGTGTCAACTGAAATTTAAAGTACTTACCCTGACCACTAGAGAGCGATGGTAGTACGATGTCAAACTTATTTAATGTGAATATCAACAGAATTTGGTAGGTAGTAGTCGCTGACAGTCAGTCAGCCGAATCATTTCGAAGTCGGGATGTACGCCAAAATTAAATGATCACATCAAATACTGATATCGCCCTCTGGTGGTCAGAATAAGTACTAAAAATGTAATATGACAGAAAATACCACTTCGCTCTCTGGTTGTTAGGATAAGTACTAAAAATTTTAGGTGACACGAAAATGTCACTTCTAAGGGCTTTGTCATTGTCTAAGGATTCTTAGACAGTGGCTATTGTCTATAGACAATGGCTATTGACAATGCTTTGGTTATTGTAAATCCTTAGACAATGCTTTGATCCAATTTATACTCGATATTCGGAGTTCTTTATCGATCCCACAGATGGCGTCTCCTTTTTTTTTTTTTTTTTTTTTTTTTGATTCTGATAACTAGACCCACTGTTTCAAATGAAAACATTTTTAGTGAAGACTGAATATATACATTTGTGTGTATATTCACAAAGTTGTTTTATTTTCCATTATATGCAGAAGAAAAACATTTAAAATTTGTTGAAAAATATGTTTTTCAGTTAACCAGCTGTCGCTCCCAAACGCATGACACTGAGAGGTCGAAAATTGTGCGAGCTAAGGATTAACGTGGTCTCACCTTTCAACATGCGATTCCAGACAATAATTCTATGTTAAACAATTTTGAGAACAGGCTGATGAATTCTTTTGATATAACAGAATGTATGCTTTTAAATCTCAAAACAAAATCAATAGATCCAACTATAATGAAATGAAATTAGTTGTCACCTCGAATAAATGTATCAGCTGGACTCCTCACGTATCGTTCTTAACAATTTCAAGCATTATTCACTTATTCTGTAGTTGTTCTCTATAGCATGTTGAGCGACACTAGATTTCTCTGGTCTATGAAACCGCTATAGTGACCTAATGTCATCTGCTTAGTTTGACCAACATACTTTTTATCCCAGACGGTTTCTTTTCCGTCGTTTTGTCTTTTAAATTCCCCAACACTTGTTGAAGTGTACAGTTTTGAAAGCCACCGTCATATTAGGTTTTTCAAAAATTGAACAAATCGAATTCTAGTGTCACTATTGTGCTTTCCCAGCACTTACTGGATCCAAGTACGTGGAAAGTAATTTAACTTTTCTCTTGCTTCCATTGGAAAGATAATTGAATCTTTTTTTGGGAAAAAACAATTAAATTAACAAAATTCTTTTTTTTCATATAATTCCATTATAAGTGAAGTAATATTTTTATAACTTATAAACCGTTACTTGTTCTTTATTTGGGTTCGACTGCAATTAGTTTACATGGTTTAATTTTTTTTTATATTGTGTTATGTATCCTTTTGATATATTCTATCTAGCTAAAAAGGAGTTGTGGAAATTTAAAATTTATGGAAGAATGGTTTTTCCATAGATTTCATTTTCTTCTATAATTTCAAATTCTGTTTACTCTATTTTAGGTAATGAAAGTTGGCACCTCTAATATATTCATCAAGAAACTTCATCAACCACATTTACACAACTTTTTGTGTCTAGTATAAATTTGAATTGTATTCTAATTCAATAAAAAACATGGTTCAGATAATTTATTAAAATGACATCGATGATTATTCTATATGCAAAGATAAATATAAATTGGTATATCCAGATAGAATTAAGTATTTATGTTCTACAAATTGCATACTCTGCAAAACTCTTTATTGCCAAAATATCTGAGGTCGATATATATTCAGGCAAAATGTCACATTATCTCTTCACCTGTCTCCCAACTATATAATGAGTGAACTGTTGTAATATTTGTAATTTTAGATTTTTTATTGGATTTCAACAGAAACAATAACTAAAACTTGGATGTTGAAAATTTTCAAGTCTCGCGTTTCTTTCCAAAGGGATTGATTTTCTCCAGCCAAGATGCAGAACTTCCGGTATCTCTGAAATGAAAATACATTTTGAAAGTTGTCGAAAAAGATATCAAAATTAATTTGAAAATCAATGCCTTGAAAATGTTATTTGTTTTTCAACCAGTCCCTATAAAAAATATGTTTGGAGGATTATTCAAAAACTTTATATATTTTTGATATGATACTGTAAAACAATCATACTCACCCAGCTTCAATTCGATCTGGATTACTCAAAGAATCGCTTGAAGAGGCTGCTTTCAATGACTCAATCAGTTGAGATCGTAATACATGTTTCAAGGGAACAATTTTCTTTTGGTTCTCAGCCTCCATTCTATCCTTCCATATTTTACAAGCCTCATCAAATGAGTAACCATACCATTCAATTTCTTCGCGAGTATACTGGAATAAATAGTTAAAGTAAGTAGTCAGGTTTATGAAATGTTGCATCGTTCGTCGCCAAGAAGGCACTACCAATTTTTTTCAAATGTTAGGGGGGTGTCTTGTGATAATTCATTCGAAGGGTATTTCAATTCTTTATCAAACAGTTCTTTATTATTAGAAATCACAAGCTTTTATCGTAAGTTGGTCCACTGGTTTGAAAATTCCAGTTGGAAAAGGTCGTCCTCCTATCATCACTCACATAGGCAACAGTGAAGGATTCGTGAAAGATGGATTGATGGTTTAAAAACATACTTGTAAAAGTTCCGCAGGGATCCGTAATAGTAATGGATAACGCAAGTTACCACAGTAGACGAGTCGAGAAGCTGCCGACGTCGTGTTGGAAGAAAGCAGATATTACTGAGTGGTTACGAATGAAAGCTACTCCTTTTGAATCGACGAAAAAGCTTGGGAAAATGTATCCACAAAATTATCAGAATCGAAGCAGAGATGTGGGATCTGGATGATCGCATAGACTCATTATCAGAAAAAATTATTCCAGTTGTCATCAATCCTAATGAAACTGATTCATCCAATGAAGAATCACTCAACGAATCCCTGTAGACTTTTTTCAGATTGAAATTATCACAATGTCTTATTCGAAATAAGTATGTCCATTAAATCTATAAATTTGCTTCTGAATCAACTATAAACTCCAATAAGGAATATGATTCTTGATTTCCAAACCAACAAGAATATAAAAAGTCTATCCCTCAGTTCAGCCACACTTTTCTACTTTCTGAAAATGTCAAAGTCGAAGCTGAAACGTCGAACAACGCAAAATTTTGAACGCGGTTCAACTCGTAATCAGATGTTCAAATTTCTAATCGCGGAAATCTACCCTATTTGTATACTTATCTGGTGATGTTTCGAATATTTTATTTATCTTCATTATCATACCGACGATCAATTTGATATTATCAGTGTCAATGATAATAATAATATCAAATTTATTTACATCAAAAGACGAATCATAACTACAAATTATAATGTTTTCATTTAAAACTATTCATATTATCTTCAATGTAATATCAAAAAAAATATCGAGCGGTTCTTTTAGCGGTATTTTCGCATTCTTTGTCGGTGTTTTCGCGTTCTTTATCGCATATCTCTATTTTAATGGCTCGTTAGCGGGATATAGAGTATAGACGTAACTCAATGATTGTGTGGGTGAATTGCAGTGCTATTTGCTTGAGACGACTATATTGGTTTCTTTGATGTAGGGACATGTTTGCATTCTTGAAATTCTTTTACTCTCAGACAATACTGAACGAACTATAGATAAACAATGTAATTGTCTGTAGTTGACATCGACACCAGAGGAAGTATCGCTTTATTTTGAATTCCCTTCATCTTACAAAGATAATAATATGCTGCTTTCTGGTAGGATAGAGTTAATAAAGTTATTACCTTGCGTTACTTTTCCTTACCGATGTTACCATAAGGGTAAAACTGAGAGCATGAATCCACTCTAATATTTGAGACAAGAAGTTTTCTCTGATGATAAGGAATTCATACTTACTGCTGCTAAATATCCTTGGTACCGTTTGAGAATTTGTTCCTGTTTTTCTGGTCTATCAGCGTATGCGGGGCAACCTTTATCTAATTCTTGTAAAATTTTCCTCTTGAGGACTAGTGGTAATAAAGATTTTAAATCACAAGCAGGAGTCTGTAAAAGAAGTCTAATTTTGGTAATTACAATTTTCATGGTATGTAGGCTTTCACAGCAGGTGCCTGACAGATTATTTGCTATTTTTGGATTCATTAGTCATGGTCTGCAGGTTTTTGAACTTGACATTTCAGTTAAAACTGTTGAAGATATTATCGAAGGCAATGAGACAATAGTCAAAATGATCTACCTTGATTGATACTGATGAATTTTTTGTCCAGTTCCATGAATAAATAATTATATATGTAGTACTAATTATTCCACATTGAAAAACTGAAGAAAATTCACACCTCTACATGTTTTTTGATGATGTACAGTAACTATGTAAACCAACTCACTTTCAAGAGATAGTGATCGAATCCATAATGTGCATTTATTAGATTGATGGCCCTATCGGTAACAATAACAGACATGTATTTATTCAGCACTTCACTATAGACAACTGTTCGCCTCAATATAGGAACCCAAAAATGAGGAACTCTTCTACGACGTTCCTTTCGAACTTCAAAACCTTGGACAACTTCTTCTCCACCCCAAATGTGATCATTTGCTTCTTTGGGAAGAAATGTTGGTATTGGAATATTTTGTATTGGCGTTCTGGAAAACAGATTAATATAAAAGAGTGACAAAACAATTGTTTATTAAAAGTGAAATTTCTGAAACGTGAAATTGTCTCAAGAATTTGGATCATTGATTTTTTAATGGAAACATTCAAGCAAGTGTTGTAAATTTATGGTAAAACAAATTTGATCAACGTGAATCCTCCAACATAAAGCTTGCTATTTGCGACTGGTGCATAAAACCCACTAAGTATTTTTCAAATATCTCACACTTCACCAGTTACATCATCTCGTTTCCATTTTCCAGATTCTGGAATATAATGTACAGCAGTTGGTTCGGTCAATTTCCATTCCTTATAAAACTTTTTGTATGCCTCAGGAAGTTGGGCACCTATACCCTTATCCAAAATTGTTGGCTTGATATAGTTTCCAAGTGTTTTTACTGACTAAAAAGAAAATAAAGAACTGTCATGTTGTTTTTCACATGTTCTTCACAAATATTATACCTTGAATGCCATTAGAGGAAATACAAGTAGCTAATAAATTTTAAATAATTTTTCAATATTCATTAATTACTCTCTTCTAACCTAATAAATTTTTTCTTCTTATTTTACAATCATTGGCCTCAGCAAACGGAACAAGAGCTATCCGCTAATTGGTAACGAAGGTCGTTTGAAATAAATATAGTTTAAAAAAACTAAAAAACATGCTTTTAAAGAATATCGAACTAAAAAGTTAAAAATAATTTTTTTATAATAAACTTAAAACAATAACGATCAAAAAATACTAGTAATATTGTGAAAAAAGCCTGGGCGCTAGATATAGAAAAAATATGGTTCGTTATTGTTTAAAGATTATTTAAAAAAAATATTTTTAACTTTTTAGTTCGATGTTCTTTAAACGCCGACCCTTGTATTTCCACTGTTACTCCCAATAAAAGTTTCTTCGTTTACAACAACGCCTAAATATCAAACATTGAGCTGTTCTTCATTATATTGTTATGAATTATATGTGGTTTCATCAAATGATTATCCACAGAGCCAATTTCTTTGGATGTTTTCAATATTCTTCCCACGGTACTATACCTATATGACACATTCTCACCATATTAGAATTATTTCCACTTTGACTTGTGTTGATAACATTGTACATAAAACTTATTTGTGAATTATAAATGTATGAAAATCTGAACACTCGTTTTATTAAACACAATCATTTGACATTAACAACACTAAAAATTAGTTTCAGAAGCTTACTAGAAAAATTTTTATTTCGATTTGATTAATTGTACTTCTTTCTTCCCGAGTCTTATAGGTATTGTTTTGAAATCACGAAATTTGTATCACGTTTAATCTTTTAAATAGTTATGAAAGTGTTGGCATCATTATTTAGTATAGAAAAGTATGATATTTTGGAATTGTTTGTAAGTGAATTATTGGTCCAGGAGTAATCAACTGAATAAAAATGTATCAAAAAAAGAATGAAAAGTAACTCATTTGTCCGATTACTGATATATCAACTTTCTTACCTTTAGAATTTGAATCAAGTTTCACATTTAAGCGACAAAACTAAACAAACTTTGAAACCACAAAGAAGAATTTCTAGAGGTGTATTTATTTTCTGTCAGGTCCATGTGACAAAACAGAAAATTGGAAACTGTTTTTTCTTTGGCATTTTTTAAGTTTCCAAAGAAATCCGTTTTTTCGAAGATTGGAATATAATTTAAATTAACTGGGTAGAACAAAAATCTAAGATAATCTGTATATACTTATAATAATACTATTACGAATAGACTGATCCCTCACTTAATGAAAATTAATAACACTGTCCATGATGATAATTGAAAAAAAATTACATTTTTTAAATTCTAAACATGCTTCGCTAAAACCATAACTTCAACAGTATTACTAAAAAATTGAATATATATTAGAAGTAATTTTTTTCAACTGTTCTCTACTATTGAGACCAATTCAGAACAGTAAATACTTTTTCCAAAACAAAATTTTTGTCCGAAATACCTTTTTTGCAGTAAACTAGAGCTAAATCATCAATATCAAATGATCACATGATAAACTTTTGAACAAATATATTTTTATAAGAAATAAAATGATATATTATCCATTACATATTGTTCATATCTATAAATAATGACTTCATTGTTGATGTTCCAGTTCATTTTCTTCCAAGCATGATAACTTCTTCAGAAGTAAATCCATTGTCAATTTATTCTTCGGTCTAGGGGTAACCTTCTTAGCCTTCAAGGAACGTTTTTTCACTTTAGATTTATTTGTCGGCAAATAATTCATACTGCCAAAGTTTATGCATCTTTTGAATTTTCTTGCGCTCATAATAATTCCTCCGGTCTTGGGTTCTTCAAATATTGTCTCCAAAGACGGGGGAAGTCGTTTCACTTTTTTATCAAGATAATATTTTTTTATTTCTTCATAACTGCTATCCTCATGTAATCTCTTGGGCTTTGAAATAATTTGCTTTTTTTCTACTTCTGCAGGTCGAATTCTCTTACGCCCAGAGCGCCTCAAGTTTTCATTTCCATTTTCATTTGGTATTCCTTCGAATTCAGGTGTGAAACCTTCCTGGGAAAGATCTTCTATTCTACGTTTTTTCTCTCCATCTTTGATTTCTAATTGAGAACTGAAAACATTCAGGACTTGTTCCATATTTTGCTCTTTCACATGTTTTTTAAAATTCAATGTTAGAACTTAAATTATGTGCTAGGAAAAAATATCTGCAATTTTATTGCTCTGAGAAAACAAAACAAATATATACATAACCTCCACCTTAATACTTCTTCTTCTTTCCCCATTAATGGCTTCAGCTGCTAGGGCTATCCAGCCGGGAGTTCCAGAATCATGTGCTACTAGGCTACTACAGATGGAACCCACACTGAAGTGGATCTGAGTCGGAGGAGTAGACACTTCGCCGGAGAAGTAGACACTAAACACTGGCACAGTATACCGGAACCTACGGGTTCTATAGAATACAGTGACACTGGCCACATAATATCAGTTTCGATATTCTGTGGCCTTGTATCATATTGCACAGGTTAAGATAACAACAACTAGGTTTTTAATAACTTGTGACCATATTGCTTTCTGTACATGGCGTGGATGCATGTTAATTATTGATTTTGATTTATTACAGGTAGAAGATAGTTAAAACTAAGGAAGATTCAGAGAAGAGAGTTAGAGAAGTTAGATGATAGTTCGGGCGGAATCACTTATTACCTGAAAATTCTATCAAATCTACCATTTGCAAGGCGAAGCGTTCAAGGACATATAAGTCGGCGCTATCCATAGAATCGGACAATTTCTCACAGCTACACGTGGGAAGTCCAACTGGTCTACAAAAGAAGTTGCAGAAGGCTGAGGAGCTGTCACTTTATGAAAAAGACCCCTTGCAGGATAATATATTGGAATGTAGAGGGAAGGACTCTTCTCAAAAATCATCTGAACATATTTGATTTCACAATGCGGTAGCGACTAGATGGTCATACATTCTGAAAGAAGGGAAAGAAGGGGTTGGGAAAGAGGTTCGAGAAGATGAGCTTATTGCAAAGCATTCGATTCCTTCAAATTGCATTAATTTGGAAGGGTTGGGAACGAAGTTCGAGAAGATCTTATTGCCAAATACGCGATTCCTTCAAATTGCATTAATTCATCAAAGAGATGCTGAGTACATCTCAAGTGACACTACTTTGAAATGTCAAGTTGGCACCGCAATTTTCAATGTTGTTTATATTTGGGAATGGGTTTTTTCAATATAAGGGTCAACAAATTGAAGATTTGAACAAAATACGCGTGACATCTATCAACATGTATACAAAGTTGGGTCAATATAATTTCTCGCGTCGAGAGTTTTTGACAAAACAAAAGCGAATTGGTAAAAAACACCAGGATTTCTATTTCTATGCATCTTGCACACAATATTCCGTAACTATAAATGGAATACTGTAGTATTGCCGTCGCTGGAATTGATGATCTTAAATATCATTTTCATAAACAGTCTTTATAAAAACCAATTGCATTGGTACCATCTAGCTTAATTCTGATAAGATAGTTTAATTTGAGTAAGCATGGTTGAATATTTTTGGATTTAAAGAAATCCAGGTTTTCATCAGTCTGGAAAATTCAGAAAAATCAATCTGGCAACACTGCATGTTACGTTATTTGCAGTGACGTGTTATTAGGGAGGGGTGTTTTGACAAGTCAATTAACACCGACTACATGCAATTAAATTCATTAGAATGTCTTTATGGAATAAATTCCGGTTTTCATTTCAGATGAGCAAAAGTAATTCGTCGTGTTGAACATGACGTCCTCTTCATGGAAAGAATTATTTCCATCAAAATTGAGCTTTATTATATTTGTTCTGTACATACTCCTTTTTGTAAACCAAGGTGAGAATTTTGAGGGTAGAAAAATGGGCGAATGTTAAATACGATTATAGCTATTAAGTTAATTTCGCATAAACGTTCAAATAGTGGTTTCTAGATTTTCATCATGTCAAGCCAATATACCTATTTTCATGTAGGAGAGTCCATGCCTATTTCTATATTTTCTAATATTTTCATCATTCAGAAAAGATCTGTAGGAATAATGAAAAAATTACCTTATAATGAATGAATGAACTATGCAAGTCTTTCTTCAAGTCAGTGTGGTTCCTTACTATACCTGCTCTATTTATGAATGCATCAAATTTCTTTTCAATAACAAACATTACTTTTACATGCAAAAAAGTTACTCATACAATCAAAAACACCCTGCATTAATGTAACTATCAAACTCTAACCATTTACCACCAAATATATCTAAGACGGAGGACTCTCTTTCAGTTTGTGTCTGAAAGTTACTTCTTTGCATGATCTACACATCCATGTATAGAGTTACTTATTTTCAAATTGATTACTTCCTTTCTTTCTTTGGATGACTCCCTCCCTCATCCTTTTTTTGTATCAAGATGGAGTAGTAGAAAGTCAAAAATTTTCTTTTCCAAAAATCTAAGACGTATTTTTAAACAGTAAAAAACTATTGAAATTACTATGTAATTGAATTTGAAACATACTTTCTCGAGAAATATTTACATAAAGGATTAGAAAGCAACTTGACAAAGTTGGTTTTAATTTGACTGCCTCTTAAATTATTTTGAATGGTTTTTCATTTAAATTTTATTTACTTTTTGTGATGCCGAATCATTCTTGTTACAGGAATTTTGGTAACATCCTCACAGAAATCAGATAATCAGTATGACTACAACATTGTCACTGTAGTTTTGTTCACAGAAATTTTGAAGTTGGCTCTTTCATCTTTCCTCTACTGTAAAGAGTATGTATTCACTCAAATTGAGAAAAATTATGTGATAATTTTTTTATATTTCTATTATTTCATTGCAGGCATTCTACAAAGCAATTGGTGATAGAAATAGTTAAAAATAAAAACGTACTTTTACTTTATTTTGTTCCTGCACTGTTATATTGTTTCTACAACAATTTGGCTTTTGTAAATCTGTCTTCATTTGACCCGACAACTTATTATCTTCTGCTACAATTTCGTGTGGTTATAACAGGAATTTTGTTCCAGGTAAGATATATCCAAATGCCTTAATCAAAGTAGTTAGCAAAGTCTAAAAGTTATTTTTTTTGTAGATAATTTTTAGGAAAACTTTGAGCAAGAAACAATGGGTTTCTTTGTTGATATTAACGTTTGGCTGTATGTTGAAGCAAATAAACTTCTCGCAAGACCCAGCAAAACCTGAAGAACATCACAAATCGTCTTCGATAACATTGGGGATAGATGCCTCATTTATTTTGATTCAAATAGTCTGTTCCTGCCTGGCTGGAGTTTATAATGAATACCTCTTGAAGAGGCAAGGTGCAGATGTGAATATTTTTGTACAGAATGTATTTATGTACTTGGACTCTATTGTTTGTAATGTTCTCGTCTTGGGTTTCACTGGCAAAATAAGAGAAGCCTTCGTTTATAAAAACGTCGTCAAAGTATTCCACTACAAAGTATTAGTTGTCATATTGAACAATGCCGCGATAGGGATTGTGACAAGTTTCTTTCTGAAAACTTTGAATTCTATCTTGAAAACCTTTGCCAGTGCTCTGGAACTAGTCCTGACCGCGATCCTGAGCTACTTATTTTTTAGCATTCCTATACACTTGAACACAGTATTAGCCATAGGAACTGTTATGTTTGCTATTTATATGTATTCGCAAAACCCTGTTCAAAATTCACCCAAGACAGTAGGCAAATGTACAGAAGAGGAAGAGTTGATAGAGGATGTATGATGAATTTTTAGTAGTCACCAAAGTGACTTTCAGAGCTTTCAAGAGATCTAGTCATTGAACATAGTTATTTCCAAAGGTTTTTAGTGTGGAAACATCTGTGTGAGAATAGGAAGAGTTACAAAGAAGACGGCACAAATTTCTGAACTAGTTATTATGAATCCAAAACAAGTACTCTTCCCAATCACCAGAAATGTGATGCGTGATTCACTACCCAAGTTGGCGTTTTCAGGTGATGAAGAAAACTAACTCCTAACTCTAAAAACTGATCTCTATTTATATATAACAGGTTATACTTTTGCTTTTCGATACACATTGTTTTCAGGTAGAATCCGTTAGTGCATCCTCAGTTTATATAAAAGGGCAATAAAGTTGAATATTTACCAAGATTATTCCTAAATTTACGTTTCCTAATTAACTTATCTACAATATCTTCGTAAGTATTTGACTTTTCAAAAAGACAGATTCGAAGTTTATCGTCCTTTCTTATAAACCAACTTACAACAACAACTTAATGCATTAGATGGTATTTTCAAAAAATTGAATGTTAAAGGAGCCTTCAAAATCTCTTGTTCACTTCAACAAATGTTAAGTATCCCTAAAAACATTCAAAGACCAGAAAAATCCAGTGTCGCTTCGAGAACGGCCATAGAATGAATGATAATTGTCTGAAATTGTTGCAAAAGTCTGGAATTAGCAAAGTGTGGCATAATAACTATGAACAGTGACAAATACTTTAACGAAAAAATGCTGTTGCAAATTTCAATCTGACATCATAGATGTAGCCTCCTGAAGAGGTTACATCTAATCTATGTAGCCTCTTTCCGCGTCGGAAAGAAAATTAAAGTTCTGGTGATTGGGAAAAGTGCTTGTTTTTGAATTTATTCTATGCCACAGGTTCCAGTTTAATTTTTTATTGATGTATTTAGTATAAATTTAAAGCTGTCAAAGTATCTAATAAGAAGAAAAGAAAAATGAAACTATGTTTTAACCACTTTTATTTGTAACTAATGTTACTGCAGTTTCGTTCTATAAGGACATTTTCAAACTCATACAATTGTATTTTATAAGCTTGAAAATATCCGTATAGGATGAAACTGTTAGTTACAAATTAAAGTGGTATAAAAAACATAGAAAGTTTCATTTCTCTTTTCTTCATTATGATTTCCTACCACGTAGTAACGGCTACATCCATCAATGTATCTGATAACATTTTTTTAATGAAACTCATCAATCGATATATCCTTCAAAATATTTTTTATGCCGTCGCATTTGCCAAAATGATTTCTGTCCGAAAGAAAGTATCAGAATGGCTATTTTTTAAATGAACTAAGTACTTGGGAAATTGAAAATTTTACAACACATACATTCATTGAGGCTTTTTGATCCAGACACCTTCAAAGGTTTATATGAAGGTAACATATTCAAATAACATTATTGTGAGATTTTCGCTAAACAGTTTTACAAAAATGCAATACGTGTTTCGCCATACAATGGCTTCTTTGGGCGTGTCTTTACTCACCCGACACGTGTTGCGTGTTTGTAAAACTATCGAGTGAAAATCTCACAATTAAGTGTTTTTTAAATACGTTAGTATCGGCCAATTCCATCATATATTGTATGAAAGTATTATGTTATAAACCCCAAACTTATTCGATTTCAAAGACCAACCCCTATACAAATTAATTTATTGGCAAAATTTGGTTCATCCACCCAAAACAGTTGATTTATGACTAATTATTGTTGGTTAATTCAATTGAAAAGTATGGTGGTTGGAAACTGAATGATCATGCCAAAGAATATGTGATAACCTGTAGGAAAGGTGCATCATACGAGGAAAATGTTTAGAAAACTGTTAAACAGTATTACTTTCCTGTATGAAAAACTAGTCGAATGAGTAAATATATTGTATATGACAAACGCTTCGACAGAAAAACATAATTTAGGTTTTAACTATGACATGGACTTCGTATTCTACAATCCTTAAAATATCAATAAATGATGAATATGAATCACGAACACATTCAATGTAGTGTAGGATGCATGCTTACATCCTTAAAGACTAAACATAAATTCATGTTTTTTTTTCAGAAAATGTAAATTTAATTCCTTTTAATAGATTATTAAGTTAGGTTAATATCAAATCATCACCTGGTATCTTAGGTTCTATATTTATTTTCTGTATAATATTGACACACTGATTGTTTTGATGATTTTCTAATAGTTTTATATACGAGTTTTGAACAATTCTCTCATAAATTTTTAATTCTCTATGGAATAGCTTCATGGGAGAAAGACGATGTGTTCACCCCCTGGGTTGTTGAAGTCATTCATTGAAATATTTCTAAAAATTGTGATAAAGAAGGCAAGTAAATCAGGAATATTTCCTAATAATCAACGAGTGGTATGGACCAGTGGATTTTTGGACAATTACTAACTTGCCGTGCAGTTACAGTGATCGATACATGCCATTAGTATAACTAACAAATTTGTATAAAACAATGAGTAGGTATATTGGAAACTTTAAATATAGAATATAATACCGAAATAAATACAAGTTACATTTTATTTTTTAAAGTTTGGAAAGTTCCTTAAACTTACTAACACCTTTACTTCAATTTCCTGTTAATGAAAATGAGTTGTGAAGCATAGATGTAAGCAACAAGTTAGGAACTGAAACATACAGGTTGATTCTCAAGGAACTACGGCGATTGCGTCAACATGAACTTACTTTATAATCTACATCAAATTCTGCATATATTTCATGTAAGCTTACATATTTCCAACATTTTTTACATTTAATTAGAAAAATGACATTTACAGGACCTTTTCAATTTTCACAGTATTTTGTAATATTTTCTATAACGAAACATTAGTTGAAAAAATAAAAATCCAAAATTGTCAAGTTTTTTATATTTTAAAAGGAATTCCCATGACTCTTTATTCAAATGAATCCACCAATTAATTGTAAACGCTGTCAAATGACATCACTGATTGGTTCAGGGAATCCCAGAAGATTAGTGTTGGTGAAAAAAAGGAACAGTGACCTAAGTTGACAAGTGATAGGATACAATTATTGTGAACACAAAACATATCTCTGAGCCATATCTCTGTATATAAACTGTCATATCAAACCACTTCATTTAAATTTATATAACCTCAATTGGCCGACACTACAAGTAAGTAGGTAATTCACAAAGTTTATTACGGTTTTCATTCATGAGAAACGTTACAGATACGAGTATATAATAAAAAAAATATGAGATATTTTATAAGACAATGTTTTTGTCCGGTATGAGCAAAGTGTTTTTAATAGATATATTGGAAATATATGAAGTTCAAGAAAATATAATGAAAGAAATGGAATGTAATAACTGAGAGTTCAATCACAATTTTGCATTTTGTTATCCTAAATTTTCTGCAAGTCCAAGTCAAGTTCTTAACACTTTTTTTCTGTCGATGAGAACCTTGCCAGCAGAAGTATCTCTAGTGTAACTCACAAAACAAGAGACAAACATCACACATTCAGTTTTTACCAAAACTTGGAGTTGGCGTGTTGACAGAGCCCCAGAACATGATAGCCTTTGTTTCTTCGTGCCTGATGAAGAAAAAGAAGGGCACGTCCACTCGAAACGTTACTCGGGTGCCGTCTCTCGACAAACCAACTGAAGTGGAAGCGGCCGCTTCGGTTCCGGTTTCCGTGATGTCCATATACACCTTGTGAATGATTTTATCAGCATACAAACCGGGATTCTGATAGTGATTATCTGTCGACTGCTGATTGATAATTTGCCTGAGATTGTCGACTGTCTGCCTTTGGGAGAGTTGGTCGATTTTCCTAGTCACCCTTAGACCAACTTTCGTGCCGAATTTTTTATACGTAACTGTTTTATTCCCATTGACGGTTTCTTGGCATGTGGAAATGTTGCTGGATTTGTCGAATATACTTGAACAGTTGACCGTGTTTCCGAATCTGCTGAAGATGAGAACAGACTCGTCCTCCGGATTCAAGTTGGCTGCTAGCGGATTGCTTTCGACTACAGAGATCTTCGAAGGTAAGCTGGGAACCAGTCCTTCCCCGGGCGATAGTAGGGCCAAGTTGGCTCGGGAAGGGTCGAACAGACTCGTAACGCCTAGGTGCTTCAAAGCACCCTTCAGGTCTGTGGTGCTCTCTATTTTCATTTTCGGGAAGAGCAGGACAGCTCTCGTGTAAACAGTGCTATCTGCTAGACGCTCCAAGTCGCCTGCTGTTAGCAAGTTCTCTAGTTCCTTCAGTTTTCTCGTGTCCGAATTGAAGGGCATCACAACGTACATGACGCTCGCGTTTCCCTTGTACGGGAGGCCGAGTACTTCGCATTTCAGATTCGGGTCTTTGTAGTACGGAAACTCTCCTCCGTTAGCCATCATTTCCACTTCTGCGTTACTTGGGGATTTTCTTCCGTTTGTGTAAAATGGGCGTCTGAAAAGGAAAAGAAATATATTTGCGGGTGAATTGAGTCTGTAAGAAGCAGTTGTTGAATATGCGGTCTTTATAGGGCTGAACCAGAGAAAAAAAAAATGTATGTTTGGCACTCTGGGCAACTGCTAGGTTTTGTGTCACGAAAATGAATTATATAAGCGAATTATGAATGTTATGCTAGTTGGCGAAACCAGTATAGTGCTAAATCATAACAAAGAAATTAAACCTGGAGAAGCCCTGGACTTCTTAGATACCTACTAGAACAGTACTAACAATTGTTGTACTAAATTAGAAATTATAAACTATAGCCATGAAGACAGGTTTATGTTATTTATGAGCTGATATAAAGTCCAAGTTTGTTTCATTTAAATTATAAACTAACTTGAAAATAATTATTTTTAAAACAGATACATATCCGACATGTTATTATTGATTACGAATAAAACATCAGCCTATATATGTATGCTGAGCATACATCCGAAATATTTTCAATTATGATACTGATGCTTTTGATGTAGGATGTACTTAAATATTATGATAAGTAATATTTATTATAGGTATCTATTATATCCAACGCCTGCAATCTGTAGTAACTAAATTTGTTTATCAATTGTGTTGACATTTAAATGTAATTTTTGATGTGAAAAGTGTTCAAGTAGATTTTGTTAAAGTGTAAGATATTTTTAGTCACTTCATGGTAGGTACCTAATATTAATCAAAACTGAGCACGTTAAAATAGCGTTCTATGTTTATGGACATCGTATGTATATTAAAAAACAGTTCAATTTCTCAACATATCCGTTTATCAAATTTTATTTAACTCTTTGCGTTTGTAAAAAACTGTCCAACAAAATAAACTTTATTCCGTGTCGAACTATTATACTTCACATCACAGTACCGGACGTTAATCAATATTCATAAGATAATAATAATGATTAGTGAAATCATATTTAATTTACACCAACTCAAGTATGACTTCTATATTAGTCATCTATAAAAATATGTATAGGTAGGTACCTACTTTTTAATTATCATTTTAAATGTGAATGTTAATAGTAGTTATAGTCTAAAGAAACACTCATTTGATACAAAATTCCCAATAATAATTATGGCAAGTTTATTGTATTCGTTTGAAAATGTTCTTATAGGACGAAACTGCAGTGATATATTTACCTAGCTGTGCTTCCTTCAAAGAAAGGCTTTTCCCATTGCGCCTTGAAATACATGGCACTTGCAACAATCACCCTGGTCGCACCTGACGGAACATCGGTTAAAATATCTTTAATCTTTCCGTTGGTTCTGTCCGACACCCAGGCATTGATAGTTTGTTGGGATTTGAATGGATTGGATTGAAAATCTACGTTGAGGACTTCACTCTGGTACAACTGTTCAGCAGTTTCCTTGTAAACACTTCTGATGGGATAGTTGGTTTGTACAAAAACGGCCAGAGCAAAATTGATCTGCTCGCCGACTTTGATACCGGATGTTGCTTCTAGTTTGCCTATTATCCTGCCCAGATGTTCATGGACTTGTTCTGATTTTCTTTCAATGTCTAGACCAGTGGTCAGACCCAATACTGAAGTCAATTCTTCGAATGTCTTTCCGTTGGATCCAAGCAATAGTAAAGCTAAGGCTCCTAAAACGAAATTCGTGAAGACTTGGGACAACGAATAATAAAAGTAATGGGTTGATTAATAACAAATACATCTCAGCTCAAATACAGCAAATCAAACCTTAGTAAAATTTATTTACACTAGTATAAATTCGAATAAGGGATTTTGATGAATGTGCTCACCCGCCATGCTCATTGGAGCAAAAACAATATTATCCTTTTCAGTATTCCTTTTTTGAATAAAAGCTTTGTTGATCTCCAGAGTCAATCTGGCAACTCCTGCGGCTATGAGATGATCAACGTATTTTTCGTACATGGAACTCTGTTCGGTTTCAGAAACGTTCAGTCTTGAAGATAATGCAACAACATTCTCTTCATTCATCAGGTCACCGCTCTCGCTAGGAAAATATATCTGCGTTTGAAGACTCGGCAAAAAGCCCATGAGAAAGATCGCTTTGAAAATCATCTGAAAAAGAAATGTTGTTACGATCGTATATAGATTGGTCCTTCAGTGAGCGTTTTTTAGATGAAATTGAAAACAATTTCGAATAAAGTATTTAATCATCAACAAATTCACAATGACTTATAATCCCGGTTTTTCGCAATTTATAAATCTTTTTTTATTGGTGTTGTTTATTTTTGAGGACAAAAAACTGGTACGGCTGTATTTTAATCCATCTGGAAAAACGTTCTCAGGAAGTTTATTTCACATAAACGCAGTTCTCCAACTGATGAGTTTTTAATAGTGAAGTTCGAGGTGTACTGAGTTGTGTGATGGTTTTATCGAGGGAGGTTATCAGTGATGTTGGTCATTATTCCAAGTGTGTCTTTATTTACCATGTCTTCTCTACTCATGTCTTCGAGCATTATTAAATGAATTGATATTTGAAACATTTTTGAAAATGCACTAAGATCTTATTATATTATGTTGTTAACCCTTATTCGGCCTTCTTGTATTCAAATGTAAATAAAAATATATTTTTACTGTTGAATGATTTGAATATAAACAATTTGAGTTTGTTATAATTTCTCTAATAATCAAATTAACATTTTTTCAAACTGCTAAAATTACAAAAACAACTTAACTTATAACACATAGTTCAACACGTACTACGTTATATATTTCAACACGTATTTCTGTTAAATGAGAAGCATTTTAATCAAATGATCACTTCAACACGTAATTTAAGTTCTGCTCACTTGACGCATATACAAAGGTAAATATTGTTGGCCATTCGGGGCCCCCTTGATGTCGGGTGCCCTGGGCATGAACCCCGTATGGTATGATAAAAATGGTATGGTATGGTAAAGATGAAACCGCTTGTAGTACTTATATGAAAGTATCATTCGTGATTTCACATACATACATTTACTCACAAAGTTATTAATGATTTTTTTCCTTTGTTAGGCGAGTTTTTGTTTGACAGAAGTAGTAAATCTAAATAGAGTTTTCAGATCTCGTTTACATACCCAGAACAAACCATTTGCTGTGACGCCACTGACATTTCCTAACTCCGATCCTGTACTTTCATATTCTACTTTGTCACACTAATAGATGCTTGTTTTCACAACTAACTGATTTATTACCGAGTCTCATTAAGTACTCCTCGAACTCTTTTAAATATGTTTACATACCTTTTACTTAATTACTCAGTCTATAGGCCTCAGCTCACTCGGTAGGCACCTTTCACAGATTACAAAAACAAAGTCGTCGTCACTTACAAACGAGTAAACATTTTTTTAAATTGTTTGGTAGCTTCCATGAACATTCCAAATGAACCGAATGAATTAAATGTGCTTACATACAGGATGACCTTCCTCTCCCCTACTCATGAATTTTGTGGTCATCGCTTCGTTGTCTTTATCATTTCGTTATAGATCACTGTTAATTAATGAATATCAAATGTTTACTCAACAATATGTTGACGAAATGAGACGACTTGTAGGTAATAAATAACCCATTATACACATATTTGAAAAATTCACAAACATTCCTTGATGTTGAGGAATTCCGGGAAGTTTTACACGATTTTTGCGAGATCAACGGAAAAATTCTAGTACTGGCCCCAAGGAAATAACAATGGGTTTTTTTGTTTACATGACCGGACTCAGGAGATTGTCTTCAACAGAATTTATACTTTGCATTAACAAAAAAACGAGGAAATTATGTCCAAAAATTACTTGAATGACTTATATTGAGCTTTTAGTTTTTGAGAGTATCAAATGAAACTTTATTCTTGCGATACCTTTCGTTTGATAGGTATTTCAATTAACTATCTTACATTTTGAATTTTTGAAAATCGGATCAACCGATCCTTTCCTTAGTATTCAGAAGTTTTATATTACTTTTGAGGATCTGCAAACAAACGACAAATATCATTAAAAAACAATTCTAAATAACATACTCCAGTTAATTCCTGTCAATATTTTTGACATGCTCATCATTCACTTCCTGATGATAATAATGAAGTTTTTATACAAATTCATTTCTTACATTATATGGATTGTTTCTGGGGAGCACCTCCTATTCTAACCATGAGCTTTGGAATAGACTGGGGTTGTGTAACATAACATATTTTCAATTCAACAAATCCCCACAAAAAATTCAAAATTACGTAATCTACCAGATCATTCTGAGGGAGTGAATTCGCCAAACCACCAGTTTGAATAATTTTTATCTAGCGCTTATGAACCAGCCTCATCTTGCTGAAAAGTACCATCAGTTGAACATATATTGGAATGAACTGAAGTGGGTTTTGAATATTTTTTTTTCTTGAAATGATGATATTTATTGTTTATTTGCAGTTTCTTGGATAGAATATAAATATAGTTTTAAAAAACTAAAAAACACGCTTTTACAAAACATCGAACTGAAAATTTAAAAATATGACACAAAGCGCCCACGCTTTTTTCACAATATTACTAATATTTTTCGTTCGTTATTGTTTAAAGCTTATGTAAAAAAATGTTTTTAACTTTTTACTTTCATGTGCAATAAAAGCGTGTTTCTTATTTTTTTAGACTATATTTATTTTTCACTTTTTAGTCCGATTTATTGTCAAAAATATTTTTTTTTTAGTTCTAGTCACAAGTATTATAAATCATTAATATTCGGGCCACACTAACGAGAAATGCCATTAATTATCGCGATAATGGACGTTAACCGTAGGTGTAGCCATGACTTAACGCGATAATTTGCGTTAACGCGTTAAAAATTATCGAGATAATATTCGCGATAATGGGCATTGACGTTAGCCGTTAGTGTGGCCCCAGAATTACAGATGGCGCACGAATGTAAAATTCCTCCCAAACAACATAATAAAGTTCGAGTTCTTAAATTCTCTAGTAATACCATTGTCTAAGGATGAAAGAGGTTACTTACAGCGCCATCTGCCAGGGATGAAATACCAATGAGGTTACATATAGCGCCATCTGTCCGCAATAGATCAAGCAGGTTACGTACAGGTCATCTGCCGGCGAATAGATCAAGCTGGTTACGTACAGCGCCATCTGCCGGCGAATAGATCAAACAGGTTACGTACAGAGCTATCTCCCGGCGAATAGATCAAACAGGTTACGTATCGCGCCATCTGCCGGCGAATAGATCAAGCAGGTTACGAACAGCGCTGTCTACCCGCGAATAGATCTGTTCAAACATCTGTTTTTTCTTTGTATATAATGATTTTTTCGTCAATCAGATGTCGCCCCCATACGAACGATAACTCTCAGAAGTTGAGAAAGTTATGCGAGCTAAGGTAAACAGAAATTGATAAAAAAATAATTCTTTGTCTGCATTTTGCCTACTAAGTATTCCTCAAAATCAAATTTATTACAATATTCTACAGTAAATTCAACTGTGGACGTGGTATTAACAGTATTCATTTTGTGGGTTTATTTATAATGTGTTTGAACATCTGCGTTTTCTAATATAAAACCGTTTGTTCCGTAAAACATTCCAGACACAAATTATAGTTGATTTTGATGAATTTACAGACTAATAGTTGACAAATTAAACCTCTCTAATGTCATATCGATGAGTGTTATTATTCTAGAAGTTCGAAATTATTTACATTTCCAAACATGAAAGAGTTGATATCGACTTGAAACGCTGCTCACTACAAATTTGATATGGGAAATTGTATATCGATTTTTTATTGGAGGTTTTCCATATTTAACCCATTAACCGCCAAAGGTGCGTCAACGCAACTTTTCTATACACTTTTTTTTTGTGGTTTGATTAATGACATACTCAAATATCTACATATTACAATTACCAGTATTTTTTTTGTGTTCACACATTTGCATTTTTTGATATTGACTTGCGTGTTTCTCATAACATTTGCTGGGACAATCAGGTCAATGTTTGAAAACATGACGCAGATGCCAAAAAATAATACTATTAATCAAGTGAAACCTATTTTCCGGGTTTCTTGGCCGTGGTTTGTAGGTTTTTATGCCTGATTTTTCGTCTATTACTGTGGTAAACATTATCAAAGTTTTCTGCATTGAGAACAACTCAGGCACTGCAACCGTTACAACATCGCCTTTGATAATGTCTAGCGCAGTAGTAGTCGAAACGTCAGACATGCAAACCTATAGACCACGGCCAAAAAACCTGGAAAATGGCTTTCACACAGTTATCTCCGGACGTGTATACTATAAATCGTTTCACTGAACTTTTCACAGACTACGGTCATATTACTGACTCTGACATCTACCGGCAAATAGATAAAACAGGTTCCTTTTAGTGCTATCTGCCGGCGAATATATCAAGCATGTTACGTACAGCGTCATCTGCTGGCGAATAGATCAAGCAGGTTACGTACAGCGCTATCTGCCCGTTAATAGATCAAACAGGTTACGTACTGCGCCGTCTGCCCGCGAATAGATGAAGCAGGTTACAAACAGCGCTGTCTGCCCGCGAATAGATCTGTTTAAAAATCTGTTTTTCCTTTGTATTTAATGGTTTTTCCGTTAATCAGCTGTCGCTCCCATACGAACGATAACTCTCAGAAGTTGGGAAAGTTGTGCGAGCTAAGGACTATCGAGGTCTTACCTTTTAACGTGTGATTAGATCAAGCAAAAGAAATGTCGATAATTTTGTCAATACAGATCCATATCTTGGGAGTTCCAAGCAATCATACATGCATACAGGTGAAGCTAATATAAAGCGTCTAATAAAACTGTTAACTACTCGGGAACAGCTAACCTGATTTTTAAAAAAAGGTGTTGGATAGAGAATTGAAATACGTACTAAACGAGATATCACACAACAGACTTTCTTTTAGTGAAAAATAATTTGAATACATACCAGTCCAATTGATGAAGCTACCGGTAGCAAAACGCTTCTTGAATTAAATTTTTATTGTGAAAATTCTATAATTATAATCATGGATAGTCACAATAAACTGTTACTTGCATGTGTTTTTTAAAATATATTTATTTTTCATTTCGTATGCTATGAAAGTGCGTTTTTTAGTCTTTTTAAATTATATTTATTTTATCTGAACTTTGGGATCAATCAACCGTATATTGTTTAGAAAAGTGACCATTGATATTTTCCGATTTCGGAGAGGAAGCCATTGTATGGCGAAACTCGTGTTACGTTTTTGTAAAACCGTTTGGTGAAAATCTCACAAAGTGTTTTTTGAATACGTCAGTTGTATTTTCAAAATGTGTTTTACTATTTGTTTAATCTTCCTGTGATTTTTGACTGGAGTTTTATAGCTAACCCAATATTCCAATAATTGACTCCTGGAAGACTATGCAAAGGTTCTAACACCCGATACCGCGGAAGAGGTACCAGAAAAGCAGACAAAAAAAATAAGTTTTACAAAATGAAGTGATACTAAGGGGGTTTCCATAACTTGCTTCCTTTTTTCCTTTGGAAGTTTCCCACATTTTATTTCTGGATTGAAAAAAACATGATGATTTCCAGAGGATGAAGAAAACGTGGGATATTGAATTATATCTGACAGACATTTATGCAAGATACCTTACAGAGTTTAGTCTCGCAGATGTTTCTCGTTCATCCAACAGCATCTCTTGGTGAGAAGAATGAAGGTGGAATATGACCTTCTTTTGATCTTTGGGCGGTGATAATTTCGGAATTAAGGTAGAGGGCCGCGTTTTAATTTCAGAATCGTGTCCTACTTATCATTATACGTAAGTACGAATAATTTTTGTTTCAAAATTTGCTGACAACATTCCGAATATTCACCAATATGAGTAACTTAGTACAAACTGAATGAGAAAAAGTGATTTTTGTTCAATTCAATGTTCATGTGGGAGTAGTTGTCTTGAAAGAGATTTTCATTTCGGTTTATATCTCAAAGGAAATTTCGGGATTTTTGAATAGAGTTATTTAAAAGTTTATTTCTTCCTTTTTTCAAAAATGTCCCATACCCTTTTTTTTAGTTTGGTTCTCAAAATTTCAGACAGTTCTGAAATGAAAGCTACCATCCAGAGTCCGCCAATCGGTAAATAACAATGAAAATTCAGGTGAATTAAATAAATATGGGTAATAGTAAAATAATTTTTATTAAAAAAATCTCAATTAAATTACTCTTGATACAATAGTGACTAACAATGAACAAATATAAAAGAACAACAAGATTGAAATAGTACTTAGTGCATAATGTAAATATACTTTTGAACTGAATGGCTTATACTTTTGAAAAAATCCATTCAATTGCCACGTATCAGTGATGTTGAAAAATTGCTTTCACCACTATTGGGTTGTTTGAATTGTTGCAAACCAGGGCGAGAAAAACAATTAATTACGCTATTATAAGTGAATAATTGAGACAGGCGAGTTTTTCGGATCCACAACCTTGAAAAAAAATATTCATCTGAAGAATTCTTACAATCGAAATTCAGATCTATTTCCATCATCATTTCTCAGGTGCAACGATCAATTTCATAAAACAAGATAAAGATTCTAGAATAAAATAAAGTAATAAATATATTTTGTCAGTACTTTTTTTTCATTCTCCAAATTGCTGATGTAATTTTGTTATTCAATTATATTGCATAAGAATATTATTTGGAGCATTCTTATTTTTTAAAGGTTGGCTACTACTTTATCCTTATCTGATATGGTCAAATTAACACATCGGTGGGTAAACAGAAATTAATAAAAAAATAATTCTTTGCCTGCATTTTTCCAACCAAGTATTCCTCAAAATCAAATTTATTACGATATTCTACAGTAAATTCAACTGGGGACGTGATATTAAAAGTATTCATTTTGTGGGTTTATTTATATAATGTGTTTGAACATCTGCGTTTCCTAATATAAACCCGTTTGTTCCATAAAACATTTCAGACACAAATTATAGTTGATTTTGATGAATTTACAGACTAATAGTTGACAAATTAAACCTCTCTAATGTCATATCGATGAGTGTTATTATTCTAGAAGTTCGAAATTATTTACATTTCCAAACATGAAAGAGTTGATATCGACTTGAAACGCTGCTCACTACAAATTTGATATGGGAAATTGTATATCGATTTTTTATTGGAGGTTTTCCATATTTAACCCATTAACCGCCAAAGGTGCGTCAACGCAACTTTTCTATACACTTTTTTTTTGTGGTTTGAATCAATATTATTTATGTTTATTCTGATGAATATTCATAATAATAATCCAGAAAATGTAAAAATATTTTTATTCAATCCAAAACATGATTTTTTCAAAGTACCACCATATATTCATGTAGGAAATGCAAAGTGCATGTGCACCCAGATTGTTTCGAAAATTATCATATGAAGAAATAGGACACCTACTCTTTTTTTTTTTTCATTTGATTATTTTAACCATTTTTGGCCAAAGGTGCGCTTACGCACCCACTTGTTTTTTTCAATACTGTGAGTTTATATTTTTTTTAATGACGAATTGTTCTTTTTTTGAGTATTCTAAACGTGCCACAATAAATATTTTTTCTAAATTACGAATTTCTAATGTCTTGGCCGTTAATGGGTTAAAAAACATAAAGTGACACAAACTTTCAATATTTTCTTCAAAGTTTCTTCACTGAGATGAATCAATACTAGTATTTTTTCAAAGCTATAAATTCAGAATGTATTTTTTTAATGACATACTCAAATATCTACATATTACAATTACCAGTATTTTTTTTGTGTTGTCACATTTGCATTTTTTGATATTGACTTGCGTGTTCTTCATAACATTTGTTGGGACAATCAGGTCGATGTTTGAAAATATGACGCAGATGCCAAAAAAGAATACTATTAATCAAGTGAAATCTATTTTCCGGGTTTCTTGGCCGTGGTTTGTAGGTTTTTATGCCTGATGTTTCGTCTACTACTGTGGTAGACATCAAAGTTTTCTGCATTAGGAACAACTCAGGCACTGCAACCGTTACAACATCGCCTTTGATAATGTCCAGCGCAGTAGTAGTCGAAACGTCAGACATGCAAACCTATAGACCACGGCCAAAAAACCTGGAAAATGGCTTTCACACAGTTATCTCCGGACTTGTATACTATTAATTGTTTCACTGAATTTTTCACAGACTATGGTCATAATACTGACTGTGACAATTCAAATATTTCACCTTTTCAAATATATCTTTAGATTTTCGAATTAATGTGAAAGTGAAACACTGAGAAAATATCGAAGCTTCAAAAACAACTCACTACTTCGATTTGGAATAAGAAATGTAATATTATTTTTCACTGAGTATCTTTGGCCTTTCTTCAGTTATGAATGACACCTGAATTTTTAATGAAGTTTTGTAAATTTCATCCATTTACATAGTGCCGTGCTTCTGTTGCAATGTATAATTCTTCTGAAACGCGCACACTTTTTTTTTGTCCTTCAGTGTTTTTTATAAAATCATTGTTTCAGATTGACAAATACTGAAATTCTGGCAAAAGACAGTAGTTTTGTTTTATAGACAACTGATAATAATGTAGATTTGGCAACATAATATATTATCTACTGTGCCTTTAGAGATATAATACGTCCCAAATATGAATTTTGTTGAAAATTGGATAGTTTGAACATTTCCATTCTAAAAAAAACTGATCATTGTTTCATAAATACAGAATAATTTTGCATAAAACTAACAACACTAAAAAACGTCCTACGTTCCGACTTTTGTAAATATTCGATAGAAATCCCGCTCTACAAATCTCTCCGCTTGAAAACTCAAAATTATAGAGACCCTTTGCTACAGAAAATTAGCGCTCAGCGACTTTTCGTACAATATCTCATCGGGGGCGATGGTGATCTTTTCAGAGGAACTCCCCGGCTGCTCCTCCGCATTGCTCCCTTCTTCGGCGATAGCTTCTTCGAAAGGCGAAGGCTCGTGACTACCGCGTGACGATGAGCTCTGGATGAGGGGAATCGGCAGACCAAGGATGGACCGTATGTGATCGGTGAGGTGTTCTGCTTCTTTGATCTCATGGTAGATGCCTTCGGCCTTGTTCAGCATCACGGCCATGTCAATTTTGCCGCACAGGTCGTTGATATGCTGGAAGAAAAGAACTGGATCGATAACTGAATCGCTGTAATCAGAAAACTAAGCCAAAAGTTACTAGAAAAAAAAGGTTAAACTGGAACCTCTGGTACAGTGGTTACAGTTTACTACCTTTCTGTTAGACGATATTCCTATTTTTTGAAAATATGTAGCGTTTTTTGAAAGCAGTTGATGTGCATAAAATTTTGATTAGCGAAACATCCTAAATAATGCTATGAAAGAAATGATTTCGATATTTCGAATACTAAATTTGCATAGTAATTTTGAGGTGAATTTTATTGGCTGATAGTCGGTATTTTCAAACGAAAATTGATTGGAACCGAAAAATCGGTTCTAGTTCATACCATACACGATTTTCGATCTTTCTGTCATGCGTTATTTGTTTGGAAAATGTGTGGCAAAAATAACGTTTTTTCGAAACGATTGGAGTTCCTGAATTGACTGTTTCAACGCATTGAGATTTTGCGAAATATTTTATACGATAATCGAAACATAAATGTACGTTTTATCGCGCTAAATTTTTGACATTTTTTCGAAGCGATTTTCATGTCATTTCTGCATCATTTTCCGTGACGCATTACAATGCAAATCATATGTGTTTTTAGAAGAAATGAGACTTTAAAAAATGCATTTTTTTATGCGATTTAAATGACAAAACTGTCTACTTTAACGCATCGAAATTTTGCAAAATTCTCAATGCGTTTTTCAAGACAAAACTGAACATTTTATCGCATTATATACTCCTAGATCCTCGTTACCACATTTCTTTCTCAAACGACCCCCCTATATGAATTTTTCTGTTATGTTTACCTTTATCTGGTTAACTCCTCCTGATGATGCTAACTTGGTTAATGAAAATGTGGCTTAGTGCCCTTCTGACCGCAATCTTTGTTTTTTCTCTGTCGATAAATTCTACATTTCTTCTCCTTTCATTTAGCGTGCTGTGCGTGATGATCCGAATATATAATATTGCATCATATATAACTATTACAAACGTCACATCTACCTTGAGTTGGGTATTCCACAAAGTTCCGCTACGAGGTCTTAAAATGACTAAACTTAAGCTCCATGAGGAGAAACATTGGATTTTGAGCCAGAAACGACGTTTTTTTTTATTAAATGGCGTATTTTGAGACATCCTGTACACATTAAAGAATCGCATGCTAAAACGATAGAACCCCGTTAAACTGTAATGTTTTTTCGTGAATGAGACATCCCGTACATATTGAAGAATCGCACGTCAAACCGATAGAGCCCCGTTAAACTGTCCTGTTCTTCAAATGACGTATTTTGGGGACATTCTGTACACATTGAAGAATCGCATGCTGAAACGATACAGTTCCCACTCGTCAGAACTTTAATACTATTCTCGACGCGCGTTTTACTAACCGAGTTGGAGAATGATGATGCCAACTCGGTTGGTGAAATGTGCATCGAGAAGAGTATCAAAGTTCTGGTTATTGGAGAAAGTGCTTGTTTTTGGATTCAAAAGTTAACGTTGAAACTATTCACCACAATTGAATAGGAGAGAGTTGTTTTGAAATTTGATACTTTTAGAAGCCTACAATCAAACACCTAATTTGAGTGTATGATGTCTAGAGATAACCACTTCCTTCAGTAGATAATCGATATTTAGAGATACAGAATTGGATATAGCTTAGAGGCAAAAAATTGATTTGAAATATGAATATTTCAAATTAAATTTCGAAACAGGCATCCCTCCTGAAGTCCCTACAAATTGATTTGTGAAAATGTTATTTAGTGTATTATGTATGTATCTTCCACCGACACAGTCATCAAAGTTGTTTTGATCATACAGTGTTTCAAGGCATACTACGATATTTTTTCTTAGTCGAAAATCTGGATTTTTCATTAGCGATTTTTTTATTGAAAAAATCACTACGCCACTGGATTCAGCGTGCTTCTAAACAGGTGTGACCAAAATTTCATGAAAAAATATTCATTATTAACTAAGTTATGACAACTCAAAAATTCGAAAACTCACACAGCTAACAGTTACAAAAAACACCGTATATCAACAGGTATAGCCATGAGAATATTTTTTTTATGATTTCAACAATAAAGTGTCGCCAGATGAAAAAAAAACAAATAGCATATATATTTTTAATGAAAATAACGGAATTACATTCAAGTTTTCACGCAAATTAACTAAAACTAAGACCTAATATTTCAATTTAAATCTTAGTTGTGAAAGATTTAAGTGCACTATTGTCAACAATATTCACCTTACAGTTCTTCGAATCATTTTGTGTCATGGCTGCAAGATTGAGCGTAAGAGAGAAAATTGAAATTTGTACAAAATTTTTTCACACACTTCAAAAAGGCGACGAAGCAAGACGACTGGAATATTGTTTATGGCCCAAGGGAAATATTTAAACAATAGAAATTCCCTAAAAAATATTTTATATACCGACGAAGCCACTTTCACTACAAATGGAGTAGTGTCATCACAGAATTGTCGCTATTGGGCAGCGGATAATCCTAACTGGGTAATCAACTGTAAAAGTCAGTATTCCCAAAAAATCAACGTCTGGTGTGGGATATTAAACGAACGAATTATTGGTCCTTTCTTTTTTGAGGAAAACATTAATGCGCAGAGGTTTCTAGAATTTTTAAACACAGAGTTTTGGGATGCTATTCACGAGCTGCCAATCAATGAACGATCAAATTTAATTGTCCAGTTAGATGGGTGTTCAGTTCATTATGCCAGAGCTGTGAGGCAAAGGCTTAACGAACATTTTCCAAACCGATGGATAGGCCGTGGTAGTCCGTTTATAGAGTGGCCACCCAGATCTCCAGACCTCACAGTTTTGGACTTTTTTCTCTGGGGACTTCTCACACAAAAGGTTTACAAAAACCGCTCAAGAGAAAGAAATGAACTTTGTGCAAGAATTCGACAGATATGTGCAGATATTAGCCCTCAAGAACTAAGCAACATAATCAGGAACATTGGTAAGCGCTACGACACATGTATCGAAATACGTGGTGGATTAGTAGATGCTACTAGAATATGAGTTAGAATTAATTGTTGCACTGAATAGAAACATTTCAATAATTAGTTATTAGTTACGTTTATTAAATTTTTTGCTTCATTGTTAGTTGAATTGTGTGAATGTAAATCCGTTATTTTCATTAAAAATATTTACGCTATTCGGTTTTTTTTTCATCTGGCGGCACTTTATTGTTGAAATCATAAAAAAATGATATATTGTGACTGTTAGCTGTGTGAGTTTTCGAATTTTTGAGTTGTTATAACTTTGTTAATAATGAATATTTTTTCATGAAATTTTGGTCACACCTATTTAGAGGCACTGTGAATCACTCGAAATATGGTATGGTTTTGAGAGGTCGCTGCAGCAAAGATCGTAGAAGATGCTTTGAAGCATTATAATCCAGATAGTTTCTGAATTTCAAGTTGAGTCAACATGTATAATTCTCCATCAAAAACATGTATTTTTTTTGAGAAAAAAAGCGTTACTATCAGTATTTTGTATATACAGCATACACAACTTATACATAATTATACACACACAAACACACTTTGAAAAATTTTTAGAGGTGTGAAAAATATCGATCTGAACATGTTCGATAATGAAAATGAGATTAACAGTTTTTGATGAAATCTGTATTGGTTTGGGGAAAAAAACTGAGAAAGTTTGCTAAACAAAATATCTTTTTTATGTGAAAAATCATTACAAATAAATCAGAGTTGATTCTTGAAGAAAAAAATATTGTTTAAATTTGTGGAGAAAGTCTAGTTTTGAAAGTAATTGAATGCTACACACATCAGTAACAACATTTAGCAAAACAACGAACATACCTTCAATATCTCATTGAACCCACAATTATTTTCCATGATCTGTCTCTTCTGCGATTCCAAAATGGCGACGCCAATTAGCAAGTGGAAATTCTCGCACGGATATCCGGTCCACATAACCTCCCAGAGGCGCATCACGTCCTCCTGGCTGAGTTCCCTCTTGTACCATACCAGCAGCCAACGAAAACAGAAAAACATGTTGCCTGATTCGTGGGCATCCATATAACTGACGAGTTGAGGTTGGACAAAAGCGAGAAGGGTTCGGAGGTTGTTGAGTTGATCTTTCATTCCAGCTTGGTCTATGTCAAAGTTTCGACTCTGCAATGATCAGATAATGATCAGCTAAGGTATATACAGATGTAGAGGTTTGAATTCATTTCGATAAAATACCAAGATTCAGGATAACAATTCTGAAAGAATTATCCAGGATTACAGAGTAAAAAAATGTTCCTTTTCTTTCGGGTCTGATGACCGTCGATTTTTGGAATTTCTTCCTGACGTTTCGCTAGCGGGAGTGGCTAGCTTCTTCAGAGGTTTATGCATCCTGAGTAATCTCTTATTAGAGACCTTCAAACTCTAAAAATAGTGACACTGAAAGCGGAAGCATTAACCATGTTGTAGAAAATGTTAACAAAAACAAAAAAAATGTATCAAAAAAGTATTAGCACTAGTACTAAAAGTAAAAGCGTTTTATTAAATAGTGGAGTATATAATGACATGTGAATTTTTTTATAAATTTTATTCTAAAAATGTTAAAGTAACGACTCGAGTAGTAAATTTATGTTTTGTTTACATCAACTGATGTATTCTCTTACCATAATATTCATGAAGCCCACAAAGCACCAAAACGATTCCACCTCATCCTCCAAAAGCTGCAGGATCGGAGAGAGCAAGTCGCTCATGCCTTGCACGTAACCCAGATCAAAATTGTACATGAGGTAAGTCATGAGGATGTCATTCAGAGTTTGCAGATTGGCATTGTCATCACCTGCGTAAAAGTCTACGTTTCTATCGGTTCGATTCACGTCTTTCTCTATCAGGTTTTTTCTCTCTCGATAGTCTGAAAAGTTCTCTTCTTGCACCTTTGTCATGCGCTTCCACTGCAGCTTCATGATGTAGTACTCGTTGCTTTTGGCTACAACGAGCTTCTGTCTTTCCGCTTCAGTGCTCGACCAAGGATAGTACTCCAAGAGGAATTTCCAGACTTCCTTCCTTAAACTGGGCGTAATTCCCTGAAAAAGATTGTGGAATGGAAATTAGTGTTTTTCATCATTTTCGAGTTATTTGCCTTTAAATCTATTAAAAATTTTATATTTCACTTTTTAAGTTGAAATTGACAAAATTTTCAAGTGCGATACCTTTCAATTATCTTATGGTGAATTAGACTAGTGCTGAATAACCAGTTATATCATTTTCAACAACTGTAGAACACACATCTGTTGACTTAATTCGTTGATATTATGATCTATGCCGTGATGCGTTATTCAATATTTGTTTCATGTTATGACACATTCAATACTCATTTTATTTCAACAATCTGTTGGTGTTACGAGAAAAAAAAATAATAGTTCTCATTTAGTAGAATATGCAATGAATTAAAGTAGATTTTGGCATTCATCAATCCACATACATGCTTTTTATTAGACAGTGCACTCCCTTCTTGGTTGAATTTGACAAATATAACTACTACGCATGTGTATGAATCTTGATATAATTTGTCAAAAAAGAAATCATACAGGAAGATGAGTAAAATATAGATTTGAAATGATTTACGACATCATACTGGAAATGTTAATCAACCATAATCATAAATAAACATATAACATACCCCTCTGAATATCAAATTCTTGACCGACTCAACGTCTTCAATCATTCCTTCGTGGTTCAAATGACCAGACCACTGTTCTTGAGTGAGGGGCCTCAAGCGAGGAAAGTCTTTCCGTTCAGGCACTTTGTTTATCACTTCGTAATCTCCTTGTGAATGTGTTGTTGTTTGTATAGAATGACTTGGGCTGCGACTCAATGCTTGAGGTTGAACATTTTCTATTTCTCTTTGGCCTGGGTGCCTATAAACTGAAATAATAAATTTAATAATAATGGTAAAAAATATATTTCATTGGCGGAAGAAAAAATCTTATTCATGATACAGTATAAAATAACAATAATTTTCATCAATCCAAAACAAGCACTTTTCCCAAACACCAGAACTGCAACATTCTTCTGGATGCTCATTTCACCAACCAATTTGGCGTCTTGAAAAGATGAAGTGAACTGTTCACTTCTTCTCTTTTGAAATTTAGTTTATTTTTCAACTCATTAATTATTTTCCAACTTTCATCATCAGGTTTGATGTTCTTCAGATTTTACCTTGACCATTACCTCAATGGCTATATCAAGGTCAAGATAATCGTTTTGAATGAAAACCCATATTTTTAACCAAGGGTTTCAAAAGGGTGGAAAATTTTATTTATTTTTATGGTCTTGACCAACTGTATGATTATGGGGTTGACCATAGAAGTCATATTGAGCGTAATGGTCAAGGATGAATCTAATTACATCAGACAAGAAAAAAAATCATTTTTTCTGAACAGTTTTATTAAAAATACATTTGGTGATAGTTATGTCAGTTTCTATAATTTTGGGACTCCTGGTATAAGATCACTTTTCAATTTCATATAACAAGTTTCATCGATATGACTATATTAAAATTTAGAATTAGAATTTATTTATTCATCACTAACGAATTTACATATATACATACGAGAGAATAGATAGATACATGCAAAAAAATTATAGGACTAGTCAAAAGGCAAAAAAAAACAGAAATATACAATTCAAATATAAAAATTATAATTCTCTACAAAGTAGCGTCTAAAAACTCTTCAATGTATAAGAAATATACATAAGATTTTAAAAATCACTACAATATAGCATGTAAAACTCTTCAATGGAGTAAAATGATTGATTTATTAGATAACGAGTCAGATTATCCTTCAACATATTTGAACTCGCTAAGCTTAAGTGCGGGAATATATTCATAAGTAGGTTATAGCACCTGATTTCTTGGAATATGTGAGAGTCCTCACCAATGCTCAATCTTGAGTATGGCAGGTGGATGCTCTCACTATTTCTCGTACTGTATTTGTGTAGAACACATCTTTCACTCAGGTTATTTTCTTCTTTTTTGAACATTGATGATAATCAAAATTATGTAAAATGAAGGAACTGTTTGAGGGTTGTGCCAATATGTTTTTACAGGAGGTTCTTGGACAATAAAGCATATTTTGATTGACTGATTGAGATAATATATTTGAAAAAAAATTTATATTTTGTTATTATGTAAACAAGAGCTTCTCAAGGCTTGTCTGTACTGAACAAGGCAAAGACATAGATTATACTTATATGTAAATCTGCATCATTTTCTATTTAGATATGTGATGTGATCGATAACAAATATGGAAAAATTTGATTTCTTTTCTAGTTCTAATATAAAAAAAAAGTAATAAATATTTACCGTAATCTGAAAATTTGGCAAAGGCCTCAAAAGTGGCTTCATAAGGGTTATCCTTGATATTTTTCAAAACACTCCACAGTGTGTAGGGATCTGACTGAATATTGAGTTCAGCGAAGGATTTTTCAATCTTGGCAAATTCAGGATGAGTTGCATCATAAATGATGTGAAGTTGTTTGTCTCGTCTGGAAACTGATGTTTTGAACAAAGCTTTCAAACGAATAAGCAGGCCTTCACAGTTGCCATGCTGAAACCCGAATACACACAGCACTTCCGACTGACCGTCATAAAATGTCATTTGTCTGTTTTTGTTTGATACTCGAAAACTCTTTACGTCCTGGAAGCTGAACTTGATAGACCTTATGCGACTGTGAAAATCGGGGGGATAATTTCCGCTTAACGTTCTGTTTCTTTTCCGAACTGTATTTACTAACGTCCATTCTTGATCCTGTATGTCGGAGTCTATTGTGACATCATTGGGTTTCCACTCGATATATCTCTTCCGGCTGGAGTTTGGGGATTCCGAAAGACACAACGTGCCGATGGAATTCAAAAAACAGATATGTGTAGCTGGGGCCTGCTTCAGTAGAACTCCGTCCTGACAAAATATTTCTAACTGATCTTCGACATTATCTTCCATTGTGAAAATGAATATTCTAAATAATGATCATCCCAATAAATAACAAAGATGCGAATCACATCACTTGCCAAACACTCGATGCAGAGGATTGGTTTTCTTCTGAGAGTTTTCTTATTTTTAATCTTTTCTCAAAAAACATCTATATGAAAACTTATATGTTTTTTATATCCAACTCAAAAAATTTCAAAAAAACATTACAGTGTTACTTTTTATTAGTCAATCATATACTTTTTATTGTAGAAGATGATGTCAATTCAAAATATAAAATTTCTATTTTTGACCACAAAACACTAAGTTTTATGTGTTTTGGCAGGAGACACTGACACAGAACACAAACAAATAGTATTGAGAGACAGACATTTGTCTTGGTTTGTTAAAGTTATGTGTTTGAGAATCATTTTCAAAGAAGGAGTTATTATTAATTAAGTAACCTGTATCACATTTCTTATTATAGCTGTGCACTGTATACTGTTTTGAACAGTACACAGTGAACATGGCTCTCGTAAATCTTTTGAGTTCACAATTGACTCAGCTGAAAAAGCAAAATGCGCTACTGGAATCAATTAAGTTGCCCCGGAGTGCAATTAATTTTTGTTGTTTCACAATTTTATGATTTGTATTACATTGACTCAGTAGAAAGGGAAACTCGGAACCGGATCAGTGTAGGGCAGCATTGCCGACTGTTCGTTGCTTTTTCTAATGGGAATATTTTCTACCGATGATGACGCTACTTAAACAGTAAACAGCTCTTCGGAATAACTGAATTTTAAACACCTTGTGTTTATTGTTCGTGGTTTTTGTGTTTCAAGTTATTTAATTGAGTATTTGTGAGATTACAGTTTTTTGGTGCGAACCTGATGGATACGTAAAATAAATTACTTTACTTACGGAAAGTACAAAACACCACCACAATACATATATGAAAAAAGCTGATAGGACTTTGTTTTACCATTTGGCACAGTTTCAATATGTCCGGTAGATGTCATATCGGGACGGCTATGTCAAATTTCAATATCGTCAAAATAGAAAACTCCTTTTATATTTTCGTAAAGTTTCAGAATTATTCAAATAGATGGCACTACAAGTCCATTAATTTTAAAAATTTATGAATAAAGAGTTGCAAGTACAAGATTAGTACAAAAACGTTAAAAAATGCATGTATTTTATATATAGTCACCAGGATGATATACACAAAATAAATAATGGAACAAAATCAATTTTGATTGAGAAATAAGATGATAGAAATGAAAACAGAATATATTTACATCAATTAACTAAAACTTCTTCATTGCTGTTCTTCTTATTATTTTCCAATAATGGCTTCAGCTGCCAGGGCTATCCACCCAGGTGTTCCAGAAACATTTTGCTACCACAGGTGAGGTCCACACGAAGTGAATCTGAGTCGGACCCAAACCCGACCTGGGTTTGCGCTAAAACAAAGTTCAACTGTAATTTAAAGTCAATTAACAAGCAATGTCCGATGCACTAGAATCTAGAGTGTGAGCACTAATATGAGGTGATGCACTACGGTTACGTGTATGGACGCTACGATCAGGTCATGATTGGCGAAGCACTGCATGCACACAAGTATTAGGTTAGGAGAGGTTAGTACTTGATAATTACAGCTTTATAATGGATGCAATCAGGAATTTGGATATGGTTTGTATGTTAGATGGAGATATATGTTTGAAAAATATATCGTGGAAGGTAAAAGGCTGAATTGTTGAAGGAGGGATACTGAGAGAGGCATCAGTGATGTCGAGGTTTTGTTCCTAGAGTCGAATATTTTTTTAGTATTGCTGAATCAGCAGCGTCTAAAACTATGACAGCTAGATCTTCGTAAGGCCTACCCCCACTATGTATTTGGTTAAGTAGCTGTTGCTCATATCGTAACCAATCAGCTTTCTCAGTGTTATACGTATGCCGATGTTGAATTTTATTCGATTGTGAAGTTCTAGGATTATTCAAGCAACATACGGTCCAGTCTATACTGTGTGATAGTTGTGGTGAACACTTGGCAATGTCGGGACCACTTGCATTAATACCTGGAGCAGTCAGCCGTGTGAGGCTACCATCGTTCAGTATGACTGAGCCACGCTCCCCAACAAAGTCCAGCAACTGTGAACCTTATTTGTTTGAAATGCCAGTACCCCATGATGGGTGTTGTGCATTCATATCCCCATTGATCAGTAGTAGTCCACAGTATTGTTAAGAGTATGTGAAAAGTGCGGGGTTTCTCTAAGAACACATATGCTAATAAGCGACATATGTTTTATTTCAATACCTTATATATTATCATGCGACAGAGTATTGTTGAAGTCGATAATGTTGCAAGGAATGTGGTTTTTGATAAAAATTGCGACTCCGCCTCGTCCGTCATCTCTGTCCCATCTTATATGATTAAAACCCCTCAGTTTAGTGCAATAGTGTGGTGGTGGAAAAGTTTTATTCAGTGCTATGATATCCACCGCGTGATCTCGAATGTGTGACACCAATAAATCATGTATATGTATACGTATATTCCAATGAAGAATCTTTACAACCATTGATTAACAATTGTTTGTTGAGGTGGGTTTTGAAATAGTGTTTTATTGGTCTCCCAATCCAACTGCTCAACAACTGCATTCGGTATTTGGAGGTTGCAAAAAAAGTAACGTTGATATAACTTACAGAGATATGAGAGATCCAAGTGCCGTGCACTCCCCAGTCGGACGCTTCCCAAAGCTGATTATTTATACGTAACATCAAATATAAAGCCATCGAGATAAATAGTAACTTGTGAATTATGTGATACCCTCGTAGAATATCTGTCAATTGAAGGGTATGTCTGATATGTAAAAATTCCATTCACTGAGTTTTATCAGTTAGCGAATTAAATTCCTCAATTGTCGCGAGTCATGGCAGATATCCCTTTGTACCGTTGCCATCGACCCTGAGTTAAAGAAGTAATAAGAAGACGAGAATATTTTCCTCTCCTTAACCCTAATTCCCTAATATACGATATACGTTGAAAATTGAAAATGTTGAAATATCAATAATGTTGACAGCGGCAATTATGGTTGTAAAATTAGTTTTAATTTTATTAAAATTATAATGAATTAACAGAATATAAGTACTGTGTTTATTATTACTATTTGTACGTTTCGTTATTGTATGTCAGTTTCCCGAAAAAGTCTTTAATAACTTGATTTTGTTGAAAAGTACGATTTGATTCATCTCTAATCTCAGAAGGGATGTTTGGTATCACAGGAATACTGGCAGTTCCATTGGAGAAATCTGAGGTATTAAATTAACCTCAACCTCAACTGGAGATATAGTTTCCAAGGGAGTGGGATTGTGATAATAACAGTTATTGTAGATTGGGAAATTTACAGGCGTATAGTTTGATTGAGGGAGTAATAGGTTTTGATGAGCTCTTTCGTCATATCCTGACTTTTCTATTCATTCGAGACGGTCTCGTGCGTTTTGTCTGTGCTGTTATTCTGGCTTAAGAGTTTCCACTGTTGTGATTGGGCTTATTATGGGCTATAGACAGAAAGTTATGACTACGACGATGGAAGGATTGTGGACCAGCTCTTCGTTTCAATGGAGGATACACTTGTGCTGCTTCATAGTAAGACATACTCTTATGTGCCATTAGTTCATTGATGAAACCCTGCCTTTCAAATTTTTTACAGCTTTTCTTGTCATTGACTAAGAGTTGGCCATCACAAAAGATGCATTTGATAGAAGCCATACAATTACTGTTATGGTTCTCTCCGCAACGAGGACATCGTGCCGCGTTTCAACAGTTCTATGCTGGGTGATCAAAACTAAGGTAGTTTTGACGTTGACGGATAGGGGGTATGTATGCCTCAAGTCATGTAGAATATTTGAAAATATTTACATCCTGTGGCAGTGTGTTACCTTGAAAAGTAACTAGCATAGTTGTGGATGGCACATTTGCTACTTCCCTATCAATTGTAGTTTTCCTTTTGAATCGATAAGCCTCAATGATTTTTAGAGAGGATTTACCAAATTCAATAACATCTTCTGGATCAATTGATAGGCCCATGTCTCGAATAATACTCTTAATTGTTATGAAGCGTTGAGGTATGTATGCTGCATAGCCTTTCGAAAGAATCGTGGCATTAGTTAACAGTTCATTTGCATCCTGTGGGTTAGAAAACTGTACTCCAATTCGGTTATTACCCTTTTTGGTAAAGCTTATTACATTTTTAATGTTTGCAAGGTGGAATATTTTGCCCAAATCCATGGGATGTAATGAGGTTCCTTGCTTTTTCTCGGCCATAACCAAGAAAGGTCCAAAATCAGTGTTGGTGTAGGTAATTTTCCTTTGTAACTTTCAATTCCATTCGTTAATTTGTGTAAGCATAGTTTAGTCATGTTTGAATTGTTCTGATGGGATACTAAGTTCTGAGTATATAACTTAGTATTGCCTGGGATTGTGCAGTAGATAGTTGATGTAAGGATTTTATGAATGTTTGTGAGGAAGAAGCAAGCAAAAGTTTTGCAACTTACAGCACCAATTACCAATCTGTTTAAAAATCTGTTAAAAATCTGTTTTTCCGTTAACCAGCTGTCGCACCCCTACGAACGACAACCCTCAGAAGTCGAAATTTGTGTGAGCTAAGGATAAACGAGGTCTTACCTTTTAACGTGTGATTCCTAACACGTGATTCCTTCCCAATAGAAGTTATATATAAAGTTTGACTCACTGATGTTTTTCAAGGTCGCACTCACACAAAATTAGCGTAGTAATTGATAACAAAAATCAATTTCCACACTAACTTTTAAATTAACTGCGTTTCACCTATCCTTATCAAGAGTTTTTCTACGTCTTTTGCACAACTGTTGATAAATCATTTCAGATTTGACAATCCATATGAATCCACATACCATTTAACGACTATGTTAATGTCGACCGTTCCGACCCTCTTGAAAAGTGGATTAAGAATTTTATGAAAATGTAATCAGGATATGTCAAGAAATTATCCGATACTTGATGAAAATCCGCGAGATTTTCACTAAAAATTCTATAAAACCACAATACTTAAATGTTTCAATAAACAATAATTCTTCGAAACGTGTTCAGAACTTAACTGAACTACATGGTAGGTATTATCGAATAGACTTGAAGAATCTGCTGTTTGGTGAAAGAACTCTTTATTGAATATGTCTAAAAAACTATTTTCTCCTACGTACATAGGAATACACAGAAATCTTTCTTTCATTATCAATTTATAATACATAGGTAT